GCGGTCGGGAATTTTGCTTTCTTGATTTGCTCGTGAGATAGTTAGTCGCTTTCATGAAATCTATGTTGATGACTCTATAAAGCATCACTTGCAACGGGGAGTTATCGTCGCACGATTCCTAGTTAATGGACTATGAATTAGTATACCTGGTTGAATGGAAGTGTATGTAGAAGTAGAACCCTAATGAAATCCATCATTGAAGATGATCCCTCAACTAATGTTAATAGGGTAAATTACAGCCATCCCCATGAGGTAAGGTCAAATTACGAAAAAACCCCTTATGTTTGGGTGAGGGCAACCACCCCTTAACTATGAATCTTCTTAAACGTCCACCATTATGGTGTCAGATTCAACACAATCTTTTAGATTCCTATTCTCTAGTTTGTACTCGTTTTGTGCAAAAATACATTTTGTGCAAAAATACAGTTTTTGTACAAGCCAAGAAATACATTTTATGATCTTTCAAAATGTGGAGTTCGAATGGGGTAAAACGGGTACAAACTGGAGAATATTCCACATAATCTAGAAGATTTATTTGACAGTGGAAGGTGGACGCGTAAGAAGATTCATAATTCAGGGGTGGTTGTATTTACTCAAACAGGAGGGTTTTTTTTGTAGTTTGACCTTAACTCGGAGGTGGCAGTAATATAACCATGTTAATATGACACCTAAAAATAACTATAGTTGTTACTTAGGTATTATACTTGGCCATCGCCTGAACTATGCCACATGATTTTCAGCCTTAGGCATTTACCTCGGCACTTGCAAATTAGATATTCAGCCCGAACAATAGTCGGGCAGACATTATCTGGAAATATTTTCTGTTTGCGACATGTTTTTTTCATGGGAAGAATTTTGATCCTCTCGTTTGCGATTCTTGTTAGAATTTTTCTCTTTATGTAAGGTGTTTGTGCATATTTTGTTAGTGATGGCTGCCTCACTATTAGCTGATGACTGATTAAATTAAGGTGGCAGACTAAGCAGACTGAGTTTTCTGTACGAGACGGAGTCAAAGGAATATACCGAGTAGACGTTGATATTCCATCTCCCGACTGGGCCCACATTGCCGATTTCTACAATGTTCTCGTCTTCAACACTGGTCACTGGTGATTCTTCATTCTTTTTCTCTCTCTTTTTTTTAGGTATTAATGATTTAAAGATTAATAATGCTTACCATTCGTACGTATTTTCTCTGCTTGTTTTTCATTATAGGTGGGGCTACGACAAATTCCCGAAAGAGAGTCCTCTCGTATTCTTCAAGAATGGAGAGCCAATACATCCTTCTCCGAATATGTTTGAAGGGTTCAAAATTGTTGTTGAAAATATGGTTTCCCACATTGAGAAATCATTCCCCAAAAACGTGCTCAAATTGTGGCGGCTTCAATCGCCGAGGCACTTTCATGGTGGAGATTGGAATCAAAACGGAACTTGCTTGTTCGATGACCCTCTTGAACAATTTCAGGTAAAAAAAAAGGAAAACTATAAAACGGGTCCCACTAGTTTCTCGTTCATCGTTTTCCTTAGCAAAATAAATTTGGTACGTGAATAAGATTCGAAATACTACTAAGTTAGTCGTTGTTTTTCAAATTCAATCACTCACACGCATACATAGTACTCCGTCCTTCCCATATTACTTGTCGTCTTGGGCTAATATTCATGGATTCTAGGTAAAAATCTAAATAAAATGACTAAAATACCCCCTCGTAATTTTTTTCACTATTGATTCTCTCTCGATGAATTAAAAGTAGTAAGTAGGAGAGAGTAATTTCTAATTTATTGATGGTAACAATACTATATGATATGATATTCTCTGTGGAAGATTAATAAATGGTGATATGCATGTGCAGCTTGATTTATGGTTTGATCCGAGTAATAACGGAGTGAACAAAGAAGCTAGAAAATTGAATCGTGTAATTGAGGAGTCACTGAAAGGAACGAGTATCAGAAAACTCGATCTGAGTCATCTAAGCGAGTTCAGAGCCGATGCACATCCAGCTATTTGGTTAGGGAAGAAGGATGCAGTGGTTGTGTGGGGCCAGGACTGCATGCACTGGTGCCTGCCAGGTGTCCCCGATACGTGGGTCGATATCTTAGCGCAATTTATCAGCTACACCTTTCGAAACTAGTTTTTTTTTTCCAAGAAATAGAATTACATATTTAGAGTTGTGATGTTTTATTTGTTTTTGGGTGCAAAAGTGAGGGAGATGGAATTCGACTTGTTAGTGATGAGCTAGTGAGTTTCTTGAGAGATTTAGGGTTACAAAATTTGTCGGGCGATTAGTTGTTCGTTCTAATGTTGTCGGAACTTGTAGGTTTGATGCTCTATAGTTGTGAGTGAAAAGGCACCATTGTGAAGTTTTTGATTTGTAATGAGATTGTGTGTTGTTCTTCTGCACTTTCTTTGAATTAATGTTGTTTAGAGTACATGTTAGGGTAAATTGCGGCCACCTCCTTGAGGAAAGGTCGAATTATGAAGAAAAAAACCCCTCGTGTTTCGGTAATTACAATCATCCATCAACTATGAATCTTCTTACACATCAACCCTCATGGTGTCAAATTCAATATGATGTTCTAGATTCCGTTGAATGTTCTCTAGTTTGAACTCGTTTTGTGCAAAAATCCAGTTTTTGATGTACCACGATCTGATATTTATAAGTCAAGAGACACATCCCGTGATCATCTTTTTCAAAATATGGAGTTCAAATGAGACAAAACGGGTACAAACTTGAGAGTATTCCATATAATCTAGAAGATCTCACGAAATTTGACACCGCGAGGGTGACATTGTAAGAAGATTCATAGTTGGGGTGGCGATTATAATTACCTAAACAAGAGGTGAGTTTTCGTAATTTGACATTATCTCAGGAGAATTAATAAGCCAATTACAATAAAACTAATTTAAATTTTTCCAGTTTTAATTAAATGCCTTAATTCTTTTTTTTTTTTCATTTTACTACCATTTTGTTCATCCTCTCACTTCTTCACCCCACTTATATAAAGCAGCACCATTTCCAACGAATTAATAACAAGCGAAAAAATCAGTGAAATGATTCCAATCAAAGCAACAGCAGCAACAATGCAAACCCTTCCCCCAAATTTCCAGAAACAACACTCATTCCCCATTTCCACCACTCTCGCGGCGAAACCGATTTGCAGCAGAAGAACACTCAAAATCAAAATCAAAATCAAAATCAAATGCAGCAAAGAAAAGGAGGAAAACCTAACCGACGAAACGCTGGCGGCGGAAATCGGCGTCGAGATCGAGAAATTGAAGTCCCGCGCAGTTCAGAGAGAAGAGGCGTTGAAGAAAAGCAGAGAGCTGTTGTTCGCAGAGATGTGCGGTTTCGCAGGATTGAAATCCGACGAATTGAAGAAGAAATGGCGGAGGATGAGCGATGAAGAGAGATGTGATTTGGCGAAAGGGTTTGTCGGTGGATGGAGTGCGCAGTTTCATCCATTATCGGCTAAATCTGTTAAGGAAATGGTGGAACTGCATTTGTTGGATTCTGATTCTAATTCTTCTGCTAATAATCTCTTTCCTGATTTCGCAAAATTCTTGGGATTTCCATTGAATTAGTGATTTTTATTTTTTGGCTTTTTTACTGGGATGAGATTTATGTAGGATGGAATTTTCGATTTTCGCCGATAATGTAAACCTTCCGATTATGGAACAATCTTTTACATTACAAATTCCAAAAATTCGATATTATTAATTTTTCTTTTTTTTTTGGAAATATTCAAATTTTGTTACAAATTCGGGGAATATTTGTATGGATTCTCCTAATGACGGTTGGTAAAGATTTAAAATTGGTTTTTTCCGATCAGCGGATTCCGATTACGAAAATTTCTAATTTGGGAACAAGTTTTTTGTTCCAATTTTTGAAATTTTCGGTTTTCGATGGTTCTTGGAACTTAATTGAAATTAGTTTTCCGCAATCGAAAATTTTCCGAAAGTGCTAATTCCGATCCAATCCGTTCGATTTCCATCCCTAGACAACAAATAAACACTACATGCGATAAACACACTGAACTCGGCTACCGTAGAAAAAGAATTAATGGATTTGAAAGCTTAATTTGATAAAAGGTTTGATACTGAAATTCAACGACCATTCTATTATTCTATTATTGAAGTAAACAAACCAAACAAACAAACTACTTATCACAAAAGCTGCGAATTTACAGAAAAGAAAAAAAAAAGTGAAATAAATACGTAACCTACCAAAAACCAATTCTTAGACGAAAGATAGCTTAGCTATACATCACCGAAACAATCAGAAGTGTAGCTGCTTACACTGTGCAACCGAAGCATCGAGAGGGCAATACGGGCATTTGAAGTTACGAGTGTTGCACTTCGACAGCTTATTAATCGACTGCTTGCAAAGAACATGCCCACAAGGCAACAGCATAGGCGGATTCTCCTCACTCGATTGATCCCTACTAACCGGACAGACAAATACCGAATGAAACTGAAAACTCTTACCAAGCTCGATGGGCACAGGCAACTGTTTCATCGCCTGAAAATCCTGTTTTTTCCCTGTCATAACGCTAGCCAATTTCAACAGGGTGGGCAGTCCTTCAACACCGGCAGCTACAGTGACGCTCAGAGGGTCGGTAAAAGGCTGTCCTGATAAATTACAGTACGTTTTCATGAGTTCTTCGGATAAATTTTCCCAGTGTATTGGATCGGCCATATCAGCATAGGGTGATTTATCGAGCTTTCCAAACCATAGTAAGCTTCCCATGAGTTTCTGTATCTCTTTCATATGAGAAGAAGCGAATGGAGCGAGGTGAGTTTTGATGTATTTAAGTGCTTCTGCTCTGTTTCGATTCTGAAGAATATCGACAAACTGGAGCTTGTGAAGTTTCAGCTCGATATCTGAACCAGAGTCTTTCAGTTTTTCTCGATTTGCAGAGGCCCAATCCAGAGCAGGTCCGAGATTTCTTTTAGACTTCAGAGCGTCGATTATTTGATGGATTTCTTGAAATTGAACCCTCAGAGAAATCGCTTCGGTTTCTGTAGCTTCTTTAACTAAGCAGTCTGCTACGTCGAATAAGCCCTCGCGGTAAAAATGTTGGGTTATAATTTGATTTATAATGTGGGGGTCGAAATCGGCATTTCTGTACGTCTTTGATAAGTCGGGATGTAGGATTTTCTCGAGGAGCTTTTGGTACTTTGCGAAATCTATGTTCAGCTCTCGTTGGGGCCTGTCTAAATTACTCTGTGAGTCGATAGTCTGGAGCTTGGCTTTGAGCTCGGTTATTTTCTGGTCAATGGAAATTGAGGAATCGTTGTCGTCCCACTGTATTATACTTGCCAATGCCTGTTCGATTTCACGTCCAACTTGTTCCATCCATTCGTGGGATTTTGATGAAGACACCTTTTGCTTCTTTGCAACCCTCTCGAATTTATCTTGTATAGCATTCAGCTCCATGCCTGACTAGTTTAGAAAAAACAATCATATGGTCATAACTTTCCTTTTCTAGAGGATATACGATAATCTAGATGAAAGAAAAAAACTCAGGCTTTCCTATTCTTTCTAATTAGTTAGATTAGTTACATGACTCGATGAAGCTGTTTGAATCAGTAAAAGTACCACATACCATAAGGAAGATTTCACTACTTATTAGTTATTACAACATGATTCTAAAAGAGAAACAAAAAATCAAAACAAGATCGGTGCCACATCTAGTAGTCACCTTCTGCTAATGCAGTTCAAGTATGTTGATAACGTGACATTTACAAAAAAAAAAAAAAAAAAAAAAAAAAAAAAAAAAAAAAAAAGCAGCAGAAAATCAGGTAGAGGCTATAGTTAGTAACTTGTTACAATCACATGTCGATGAAATTATTGCTTTACAGAATAACATAGATATAGAAACTCAATCCAATACTGTCCAAGCTTTTGATCTTTCATGTCTAGAAATAACCAAAACTCCCACACACATATATATGCCCACTAACTTGCAACACAGAGAGAACCTAAACGGGAAGTGAGTCGATAGGACAAAGAATTGAACCTTAAAAAAATTAAAAATTAAATCATTTTCACCCAAAACAGGCATCTGCATATAGGTTAACGGGTGAACCGAAGACTTCCAGGAACAAAAAGACATCTTCACAGAACAGATACGAAAAGTGAATCCCGGAAACAGAATATAATACTATAAGACCAATTATTCAATCATAGCCAAAAAAAACATCAAAATTCTGATATTTGAAATGCTATAAACTCAAGAAAACTCAAAAACATCAAATGGCAAATGATTTTTTTCTCCAAGAATCGTGCACTGAGAAACTGCGGCCAATAAACGTCCTTTTCTAATTTTTATGCTCTGAATATTCTCAAACATGTAAATATAAATTAATAATTGACCGTTCTCAATTTGAAAAGGAAGTTATATGCCGCTCTATAATTATGGTGACAATTTAAACGTTGTTTTATCAGCACATCTATTTGTTGCCTCGTAATTCTGGTGACAATTTAAATTCCGTTCTTTCAGCAACATCTATTTTGCTGCATTCGTTTCATTGGTTAAACTCCTACTTACATTAAATCTGAACTCCTACTTACACTAAATCAACAAAATCAAATTATCGTGGAAGCCCAGAAAATCCATTAAAAAAGGAAACTTTCATTACCTGATTCTTCTATATATATATGAATAAAAAATTCAAAAATTCAAAAAAAATCTTTAAATTAGGATCATTGAACATGCCATGAGAATTGATCTAGTAAATCCACCAATCCAAATAAACAGGACTATTTAATTAAAGTAATACTCCCAAACCCTAGCTTCCTGCATACATCATCATTTTCCTAACAATATGCATGGCTAAAAAATGAAATTAGAAAAATCAAATCGGAAAAGAATAATCATCATTCCTTCAGAAACATGAATTAAAACGAGCAATTTTATATTATCCTCATCAAAGTACTCACCGCGAAAAAAAGAAGAACACGGAAAAGCACGAATTTATGATCAAAAAAATTGGGGAAAAATTTAAACAATAAAAATAAAAAGGATTAAAAATTCATACCTGCAATCAATAGAGAGATCGGTTTCCAACTCTGAAAATATTTAGGCGAAGTAGAAGGTTGAGTGAGAAGAGGAAGAAGAAAAGCGAGAAGGGTGTGATTTGTGAATAAATCAGAGCAGGATGAAATGTTTTCGGTTTCTTGCGGTCTGACGTTGTTTCGGATGTATTTCCCAAATTGCCCCCGCTTTCCTTTCATATTTACTAGTGCATATCAATTATCACACGTGTTAAGAAATTTAATAAATATTTATGAATTTTTTTTAAATATATATACTATATAATTAATATTGACTAAATTATTTTTCCAACTAATTCTCAATAATTAATTATTCCTTTTGTTTGTAAAAAATAGTATTTGAAATAGGGTGCAAATTTAAACCGGATGGCCTATTTTAATAGGAAAACCGGATGCCATAGGATGATTGACACGTGGATAGTTTAAATAAAAATATAATTAGGATTCTAATAATTGAAAAAAAAGAAAAAGAAAAAAAGAAAAAAAAAACCCGAGCATAACTCATAACCCCTATAACCCTAATAGGATGATTGACACGTGGATAGTTTAAATAAAAATATAATTAGGATTCTAATAATTGAAAAAAAAAGAAAAAGAAAAAAAGAAAAAAAAAAACCCGAGCATAACTCATAACCCCTCTAACCCTAATTATAACAGCGTGATAAATTAGTGAAATCCGATTTAGATTTATATTAAATATCGGCTGATCCGCTAAGAATTTAATCTCTTTGAAATAATTTGTGAAAAATTGGGGAACAAAAAATGATTAATGGATTAACGAAAACTTAAAATAACAAGTAGAGGTGTTCATTCCGTACTAAAACCTTACTGAATTTCATACATTGTTTTGGTTAGGTGAATTGCAGATGACCGAAAATTTCATTACAAAAATTAAAAATAAATTAAAATTCGAATTTTTATTTATTTTGAGTAAAAAAGATAATAATATGCTTTGCGAGCTGCAAAACGAATCATCAATAAGTTCATACAAAAGAATACTAAGAATAACGAACTGTAATGTCAAATGATTTATTTATCTTTATGGAAACAAAATTGATTTGTTTCTCTCCTATAGTGAATGTAACTCTGTAAATTGAACAATCGGGACTTCGACACATCCCTTCGATGGAGGCTACATCTATACAAAATTTCACGAGGCTCGAAAGAATGTGGAAATTAGAAAGAAAAAAAAAAAACGAATTTTCGGGCATGGAGAAAGTGTCGAAAGAAAGAGTAGAATCAAGAAACTCCCTTTTGATTTTTTGCCAGCTTCTCCCGTACTTTCTGCTCCAACGCAGATATATCATTGTCGAGACTGAATATTCGATTAAGCGCGTGCATATTTTCCAATATTTCGCTCAAAGACCGTGTATCAGTCCCGTCACATCTCAAGTGCTGCATGGGACCATGAAGGAGCTTGTTCACGATTCCCATGCTGAGGTCGTGAATAGCCTTCTTCTGGTTCTTGGTGATGTCATCGCCCATCTTCGGCATACATTTTTCGAGCTCGGAAGCCCTAATCCTCTCTGCATACGCCCTAAGCTTCTTGATTGTCGGAACAGTCTCGAGAGAGTCCTTCCATGCTTCAAATTGGTTCACTTCTTCCTCGATAATCGCCTGAGCTTCCATTGCTTTCCTCAATCGATCTTCTTTATTGGCAGCCACGACTTCCTTCAAATCGTCAACGTTATAAACTTGAACATTTTCAATATCAGATACAGATGACCCCACGTTTCGAGGAACAGAAATGTCGATGAATAGCCTCTGTCCCCCTACGTGTGGGCCCACAGGGGACGGCAGCCCCTCCACTTGTTCTTTCGAAAAAATAAGATTTTTCGAAGCGGTACATGTGAAAACAACATCGGCTTCTGCAGCACATGTTAGAAGTTCCGATAGAGGCCTATATTCTATATCCACATCCTTGATTTCTGCACGAATGGAAGCTACTTTGTCCTCTGTTCTATTAGCAACAACAATCCTTTTACATCCTTTTGCAGCAAGGTGTTTGATTACGAGCTTTCCCATTTTGCCAGCTCCAACAACCAGCATTCTTGCAGTAGCATGAGAAGATTCCGGAAGTTTCATCATAGCAAGCTCTACAGCAGCCGAACTAACTGATACCGAACCAGTAGAAATACTGGTCTCGGTTCTTACACGTTTCCCAACAGTGATTGCGTGCTTGAACATGCCACAGATTTTACGGTCGAATCCAGGCACCCCTTGTCCACCTTTAACAACTTGCTTTACCTGTGAAAGAATTTGACCTTCTCCGAGAACAAGGGAATCGAGACCTGACGATACTTCAAACAGGTGCTGTGTTGCATCTTTATTAGAAAGCAAAAATCTATGCTCTTGTATCTCTGAAACTGGAACTGAACTCATCTGTAGAAAAAACTATTACAATATCAAACACCATCCATATATTACTGTTCAAAAAGGTAATTTTCAGGACAATGATTATAAATAACTAGTATACAGAACATGAAAATTGAGAATGTTATATTACCTTAGACATCCATTCGGTCACTTCTTTAATGCCGCGATGTTGAGACAGAGCCACGACATAAATTTCCATCCTGTTGCACGTACTAAGAACGGCAGCTTCCTCAATATGATTTAAAGCACAGAGTTCACTAATTACTTGAGGCCATTGTGCTTCGGGGATAGAAAGCTTCTCACGTATCTCAATGGGTGCTGTGTGGTAGTTAAGCCCAATAACCACAATACTGCTAGTTTCCTTTGTATAACCTGAATCAAAAAAATACATTTATTAATTCAATTCATACAACTTCATGATATTTTGTGCAATTAAGAGCAAGTAATTGGTAAGGAATACATATCTAAAAATTTCCCACCATCGCATACATTCAAAAGATTAGCCAACAGCGAATAATATCTGCTACCTACGAAGATTAGGAAACGAAAATCTAGTCTACGTAATCGGTTCCAAATTCTTGCAACTAGCACCAAAATCCTTATTGCCTAATCCCCAGAATTGAAAACTAAAAATTATTGCAAACCAGAAAAACAAAATAAGAAATTAAATTTGCATAATTATCATGTTAAACTTCATCAGAGCATACAGCAACACCTTTCGATTAACAAAAATTCGCAGAAAATCAGCCAGACAAAAAGAAACTTGAATACTTGACTGAATCAAATTACAGAAAAAAAAAATTGGAAACTCACGATCAGCAGCGGAGGTCTTGAGGAGCTCCAGAGCCGAAAGGCTCGACGGCTTGGATCGGATCTCGGCGGCGTTCGGAGCAACCTCACATCTAGGGTTTAATCTGATCGAGTGCGTCCCCGGCATCAAAACCTTATACCTCAAACTATTGCAAGCGAATCGATTCGCCGGTGGAAAGCAAGCAACTGAACAATAAGACGAATTACGAGTACGGAGGGCATTGCCGGAAAAATCAACTCCGGATTTAGCATCCGAATGAACAATAGAACTAGCAGATGATGATAAAGAAGTCGCGAAGCCACTCGCCGCCGCCATTGGTATCGTAGAATTGGGGTTTGGTTTTGCAGGCGAGAGAGGGGCTCCGAAGGGGCTGAGTTTTATTGGTCTGAAACCAGAGCAGGTGAGAATTCAATTGTGAGAACGAAGAAGAACAAAGGAAAAGGTTGTTTTCGGTATTTCGGTTCAACCAATTCTTTTCAACGACTAATTTATTAGGTGAATATATTTAGCGCACACTTTGACCGGTCAAATAATAAAAAAAAAAAAAAAATTGGTCTGGAAATTATGAACTGGATGTGTTTGTTTATATAATCAGTTAAATCCTTCTTAGAAAACAATTCTAATTAGTAATTAGAAAATATAAATAGCAAATTATTACCGCCTCTAAGCTAAGGTCAAATTACGAAAAATCCCCACGTGTTTGTATAATTACAAATACCCCTCAACTATGTATTATTTTATGAAAAAATCCCTTCGGTTGATAAATTTTTAGGTGAGTTCATCCAGTAAAACTGTACAGAAATTGCGGTACGTCTGAATTTCATATCGTTTTGCGTTCGGTGCAGAAAATAACCGAATTACCAAAAATTTATTAAAAAATATTACTTTTGATTTTTTGTTTTTATATATATATATATATATATATATATATATATATATATATATATATATATATATATATATATATATATATATATATATATATATATATATATATATATATATATATATATATATATATATATATATATATATATATATATATATATATATATATATATATATATATATATATATATATATATATATATATATATATATATATATATAATAAAATAAAGTTGAATATCACACCAAATTAGCGATTCGGTAATCGGCATGTACGAATTTTTTTTTAATTGATTTGATCGGTTAAATGAACACCTCTACGTAAATTTGACATTGTTAGGGTAAACATGTAAGATAATACATAGTTGAGAGATGGTTGTAATTTAGCAAATAATAAGGGTTTTTTCGAAATTATACCGTACTTTACGGGTGGCCATAATTTGTCAAATATAAATTATAATTACGTTAGTGAAATACTTAATACTTAATTAGAGAATAATAAGGAGTAATAAAGTCATGATAAGAAATTAACTAGACTTGGATTACGTTGACTTTTGGTAGGTACCACGTTACTAACTTTAACACGGACGTTAGGCCGGCACGCGCCATATTGATGACGGCGCCACCGTGTTAGACTGCTTCAAGAGTTTTTCCTCTCTTTTTTTCTTTTCTTTTTTTTAATTAATTCGTTTTTCTGACTTTTCTCGTTTTGACTTTGATTCGGTTAAGTGGTGGACTTGGTCGGCGGCGTGTGAAAGGAATAATATGTGAAGGAATGGTTTTCGTTTCTTTGACATTATTATTTAAATTGTTTTTATAACTAAAAAATTAAATTAAATTCAGTTTAAATAATTAATGTATTTATGGTCTTGAATTGGGCTTAAATTCACAATACAAATCAGACTCGATCAAATATTTAGGTTAAAATTTCGGTCCACAAATTTTTGTGAGCCCGAATACTATTAATCTCGGCCAACTTCAATTATATAATAGGGCAAATTACGGTCACCTTAAATTACGTAAATCCCATGATGTCTAAGTAATTACAATCAGTGGCGAAACTTAATAGGGGCTGGGGGCTGTTGACCCCCCAAGATTTAAAAAAAAAAAATTTTTTTAGGTATTTTGGTACTTTATTTTTTGAATATTATTTTTGGCCTCCCTAAAGTTTTAGCAAATATGTATCTTAATCCTTAATTTTTTTTGTTTCTTCTCCATATATATATATATATATATATATATATATATATATATATATATATATATATATATATATATATATATATATATATATATATATATATATATATATATATATATATATATATATATATATATATATATATATATATATATATATATATATATATATATATATATATATATATATATATATATATATATATATATATATATCATATTTAATAAAAAAATATAAAAAAAATGGTGAAAATTTGTATTATTTAAAATAAAATTTATGAATATATACTTATTTTTGATTTTTTTTATTAATAACTCTAAAAATTAATATGAGACGATGCCATAAATCCCAAAATATTAAGTATGATACATTATTAGAATAATTTGAAATAAATTTTTTTTTTTGTCATGCTTAAAATACGATAAAATTATAATATATATAACAATTTAATCAAGACATATCAATATAAACTTATTTTTGCAATATATTGTGAACCTAAATTTTTTTTCGGGGCGCTGCCCCGATCTTCAAAATTTTAGTTAGCCCCCTACATTTCATCTTGATTCTAGCCCTGATTACAATTACCCCTCAATTATGTAGATGGAGATTATATTTTCTGAATCACCTACCAAAATAAATACATAAAGTATTGATATTATTAATTTAATGTTAGGGGAAAAAACGACAATATTAAAATTAATAAAACATCGACATTTCATATATATTCTGATTACTATCCAAAAAATTAAAAATCATTTAAAAAATATATAATAATAAGTATTTCTCAAAAATTGATAAAATAAATAAGTTATAATCAATTCGGTGGAATCAAAAATTATATTAGGGCAAATTACGATCACCCCCTTGAGACAAGGTTAAGTTACGAAAAATCTCTTCTTGGTTGTGTAATTGCAGTCACCCTCCTCAACTATGTAATATCTTACACTTTCACCCTTACGTTGTCAAATTTACATATGGGTGTTCATTCGCTCGGTAAACCGACGGAACCGAACCGAACCGAACGAAAATTTGGAACATGCCGATTACCGAACCGGTAATTTGGTTCGATATTCAGTTTCAATATTAGTATTTAAACTAAGATTAATTTAAAAAAGAAAAAAAAAACAAATATTTAATTTTTTTTTAAATATTTTAATAAAAACTGAGGTTTTTTCGTAAGACAATACATAGTTGGGGGGGGGGGGTGTAATTACACAAACAAGATGATTTTTTCGTAATTTGACCTTACATCAGGGATGTGACTTGTACTTTCCCTATTATATTATAATTTCACGGAGAAAGAATATATGCAAGCCCATTTTTTTATTAATTCAAACCCACATAAAGGGGTTTATTAGTTCAAGCCCGTAAATTATTCTAATTTTATTACATCAAGACCAAAGAGGACGAATATACCCTTATCAATAAATAATACTCAAATACAAACAAACTCTATTTTTAATTTGTTCAAAACCAAAAAATAAAAAAAATAAAAAAACAAAAAGAAAAAGACAAAAAAAGAAAAGAAAAGAAAAAACTCACGACTGCCGCCGCTAGACCACCAAGACACCGACCAGCGAGACTTCCACCGCGCCAGCGACGACCAGCGACTCATCCACCGCACCACCTCCACCACCCCACCACCACCAACAACAAGTAATTCCTTTTTACTAAACTTTTGTTTGTCAATTCAAAAACATTAATCGAGCATCGATTCTTAATAAATATGCGTTGATGAACATTAATCTATGCTTGCTTCTTGTTGTTTTGCAATGCTTTAGCCGATTTTGGAAAAAAAATTAAAATTGAAATTGGTTTTTTTTTTTTTGTGTTTTTGTTGGTTTCCCAAATCGGTTTACACAGACCGATTTTGTGCACAAAAATCGGCGTCACAATGCCGATTTTTGTTAACCAAATCGGCTACACAACGTTGATTTTACAAGTCCAAATCGACGTTGTAATGCCAATTATTTTTAATTTATTTTCTATAATTTGTGTTCTTTATTTGGTTTTGAATTTCATTAAGTGTAAATTATTATTTTTATGTTTGAGGTATTGAACTAATAAAAAAATGGGTATTCGGGCCAATTTTCACCTCTAATAACAAATTATTGTACACTGTGCTAAAATGGTAGTACCTAATTGCTGGTGGCCGTTGTAGCGCCACAGCTATTATTATCTCAATGGGAGTGAGTGATGGATGATATGATACGATACAGAATTATACACATACAGACACACTAATACACACACTGTGATCAAATGGGCTCGCAAATCCTGAAAATCTCGCCATTTGGAGCTTCTGCAACATCCATTATCAACTCCGCCACCCTCTCAACACCTCGATCAGCCCCAATAATCCACATCGGCGAAGCCCGCCGCCGTGAATCTAGAAACCCCTTTAGAATCAGTGTGTCGAGTGGGTTTTGTCGATTGTCCCTAAATCGGAGCAGTAAAAGCTTCAGAAGTGGGGTGGTGGCCATGGCGGCGGCGACTGGGTCGGCGGCGCAGAAGTCGGAGGAGGAGTGGCGTGCAATTCTGTCACCGGAGCAGTTCTATATCCTAAGGCAGAAGGGTACCGAGTAAGTTCAATTTCTTGCCCTAATTTTCGCTTATTCGATACGATTTTTATATCACATTGGGTTTATTGAAAATTCTAATAGGGTTTGTCTTTCATTTTGGTGGATTATATAGAATTGAAATTTATTTGCAATCCTCATTATTAAGTGGTGTCCTTTATCTTTGAGAAAAATTGATATTATCTCCGAAGAATGCTCAATTTCGCTTCCGAAAATTAATTACGCCGGGCGATGATCTTATTCATATGAGTTGATAGAAAAGATTTACGGTGATTGGTCGATTTCCCGTTTATCGGAAAAAAGGGATCTTAATTAATGTCAAGGAAGTGACTTTGTCGAGCTTAATGCAGTATTTTATCTCGGCTTTGGCAGCCATGCGTTTCGGTCGAGCTCGAATATCTACTAAATATTCTGTTAGATAAGTCGACCGTCGTTTGTGAATCAAAAGCTTCCGATTTTCTGTTTCAGTTGAGCTCGAATATCTACTAAATTCTGTTAGATAAGTCAACCGTCGTCTGTGAATCAAAAGCCTCCGATTTTATGTTTGGCAAACGAATAAATATTGGACGAGTTATGGCTTTAAGTAAATCTTCTTCGTCTTTATTTCCTTCATTAGGATTTCTTTTTTTAGTTAAGTCGACGACGATTTCAATATTATATTCAACAAAGGAGCCAAACGGAGAATTATTTGTTTTCTTGCTACAATATTATTTATTTTCCCCCTCGCGTGTCGAGTGACTAGGATTGTGTAGATGAAGTGCGAAGAATCGAAAATAAACTATTTAATGAAACTATATGATCAGGTATCCCGGCACCGGAGAATACAACAAGTTCAACGAAGATGGTGTATACAAATGTGCAGGATGTGGGACCCCCCTTTACAAGTCAACTACTAAATTCAACTCCGGTTGCGGTTGGCCAGCTTTCTACGAGGGTCTCCCTGGAGCAATTAATCGAACAGTTAAAAACTTTTCGTATCCATAAGCTTTTTTTTAAATATTTATATATAATATTGAGAGGTGATGGGGGGTCATGGCCCCCTGTTGGCCATTTAGCATGTTTTTTTGACACCCCCTACTGCGTGTGTTTTGATTTTGTATAGGCTGATCCGGATGGAAGCAGGATCGAGATAACGTGTGCAGCTTGTGGGGGCCACCTCGGTCATGTATTTAAAGGGGAAGGTTTTCCTACACCGACAAACGAACGCCACTGTGTTAATAGTGTGTCGCTGAAATTTACCCCGGCAAATTCGGATTCTTCGCTATGAAGGAAAATAGATGGTAAGGGTTCGTCTACGAATGTTTATGATTGTGGCTGCGTTGTATGTTGCGTAATTACGACAGTTTTATACGATTGGAATCGTATTTGTATGCATAGTTGCTTCTGTGAGTGAGGTGCATTAGTATATCTCCCTTTTGTTTACTTGATTAACTGGCTAATTAGCAAGGAAGGGTTAATTACAATCATCCCCCAGAGGTAAAGTATATTTACGAAATAACCCCTCATTTATAGATTTCTGACATTAACACCCTTTTTTGTAGGGGTGGATGTAAGAAATTTATAAAATGCAAGGAGCTGGATGTAATTTCTAAAAAAAAATGAGTTTTTTCGTAATTGCACTTTATTTAAAAAATAAATTATATAGCAATAGTTAGGCAATGAAAAAAATAAATAATAGAAAATGATATGATATCGATAAACTTTCCTTTTTCAATCCCAATTCTTTTTTTTTTTTCTTATTATTTAAATTTAATTTCGATAATTCTTTTTACTTTATTTCAGCAATGACATAATTTTTATTTATTTATTAAATTGATAAATCGTACAAAATAGTATAATAAGCTTGTAAACTCATGTCTTCGTTAAGATTTAAATCTGATGAAAAGAAAATAAAAGAGATCGAAATCGAAAGATAAGTCACGTTGAAAACAATTTTAGCTACTTCAACACTTTTAATTTAGATAATTAATAATTAAATAAATAATGCATACTTTTTAGGATAAATTACGGTCACTCGTTTGAGATAATGTCAAATTACGAAAAAATCCCTTATATTTGGGTAATTACAACTAATTATCCATCGACTATGAATCTTCTTATACTGCACCATTGCAGTATCAAATTTAGGTGGAATATTTTAGATTATGCGGAATATTTTTCAATTTGTATTCGTTTTACCTCATTCTAGCACCGCATTTTAAAACAAGATGATCGATCATAAGTTGTGCCTTGGATGTAAGTATTAGATTGTGGTGCATCAGAAAACTATTTTTCTGCACAAAACGAGTACAAGGTAGTGAACATTTCACGAAAATATAAAATTATGTTGAATCCGACACCATATGGATGAACGTGTAAGAATATTCATAATTGAGAGAATAATTATAATTACCCAAACACGAGGGCCTATTTAGTATTTTCAAACATAAAAAAAAAATAATAATAACCATATCCACACCATAAAATATGTTTGAAAAAACAGCCCCAAATATTCTGAATCACCAATCCGCCACGTCACTCTATATTATGAAAAAATCATCATCCAAAAACTTCTCTTACTCTGATCCTGTGACCGTTAATTGACAAAGTTTCTATTATATTGCAAAACGCTCCAAAAAAACTCCAATGGCGCGTGAGTGAACGAACGAATGAACGTGTGGTGGCTCTTCGTCTTCCTCATTTTTTTTTTCTCTCTACCCAGATTCTCATAACCCAAGAATCATCTTCTTCATTACAGTTACACCCTCTTATTACATGTTGTAATAACTAATTTTTTTGAAATGTTTTATGTAGTACTTTGATAAGGTACTTATGAATGTCAGTATGTTTGATGCAGTGGTCCACTGCTGCAATCCCAGAGTAAGTTTCTTTCCCTTCTGTTTTTTTTTTCCTCCCCAATTAATCAGGAAGAAAGACAAGATTTTTAATTTTTTTTTTTTTTTTTTTGCATTTATTATGTTGGATGGTAATCTTGGAATTCTTGATTACATGTTTGATGTTTGAGTCAATCTGGGTGTGAGAAATCTTGAACTATGTAGCAATTTTGTGTTGAAAGACAAGATTTTTTTTATTTTTTTATTTTTTGCATTTTTTATGTTGGATACTGGATAGTAATCTTAGAGTCCTTAGCGGAGCCAGGATTTTAAGTTCGGGAGTGCCGGATGGATTAAAGAAATTCTAGAGGGGTCCGTTAATGCTATTATACGCGATTTTTTTATATAAATTAATAGGGATTTGAGAAATGTTGGGGGGCCATGACCCCCTTGGCCCGGCTTCGCCACTGCTTCGAATTCTTGATTACATGTTTGAGTCATCAATCTTGAAATATGTAGCAAGTTTGTGTTGAATTAATTTTCTTGAAATTATCGGTTTCATGCTAGTTAAGCTGAGGATGAAGAGAATCTTGATATGTATGGTTCTTTTGACCTAATTATTTAATTTTCCCCCTTCTCTAGTGGATGATTTAATATTTCGAAATTCTTGTTTACGTGTTTGTTGAAATTACAAATGTGATTCTTGATTTCTTCAAGTGTCCTCTGCTTTTTCTAGTCCCATCGTTTGCAATCAAATAGGGTTTTCGTTCGACGTGTTACATCGACAAATTCCACATATTGCGTAGGCTTTCGGCTCGGTTTGGTTTGGTAATAATTTGGAATAATGCAGGGTTACGACGTCATTTTCCAGACGAGTTCCGCTAAAGCAGTTCCTCTGGCTGTCCACTCATCTCCACATTACCTCAACCACGTCTCCACCGTTCGATCGATTTCCACGTACCACCACAGGATAAATTACAATCCCTTGTACAGAATAAACAACGGTTTAAAGAGACGAACCCTGTCATCGCCTCACTACAACAATGCTGGTAAAGAAGGGTTTCGCTTCGTGAAACTCGGGCAGTCGAAACGAGTTCGTTTAAGGGTGCACGCATCACTCGACGTTGCTGGTGCCGTTGATGTTATCAATGATTTGGGATTGGACACTCTCACTTTCTTAGCTGTCACGGTTTTGGTCGTCCCCGGTTTCAAAATGATTAAGTCTAGTCCCGTAAGTTTTTTTTTTTTTTTTTTTACAGAGTCTTGCATTTTATTTGGTCCCACGTTGAAATTTCTTTGCACTCATGTGTAACTATGCTTCACATGCTGATTATCGAGTATTTATATTTTATATTTTATTTGATTTTTTCTTTTATATATCGGTTAATGTTTCTAATGCATGAAATACTGATTATCGAGTATTTAGATTTTATATTTTATTTGATTTTTTCTTTTATATATTGGTTAACGTTTCTAATGCATGAAATGCTGATTATCGAGTATTTAGATTTTATATTTTATTTGAATTTTTTTTATATCGGTTAACGTTTCTAATGCATGAAATGCTGATTATCGAGTATTTAGATTTTATACTTTATTTGATTTTTTTATATATCGGTTAACGTTTCTAATGCATGAAATACTGATTATCGAGTATTTAGATTTTATATTTATTTGATTTTTTTTATATATCGGTTAACGTTTCTATATATACACGAGGTGCTAATACACGTAGTTGTTTCAGATTCTAGGTTTCTTCTTCGCAGGGGTTGTGCTCAATCAACTCGGGCTTATTAGAAATATCACCGATGTTAAAGTTCTTTCCGAATGGGGAATTCTCTTCTTGGTTAGTTAAATGACGATTTTATCTCCGATTTTTTTTTTTTTTTTTTTTTTTTTTAATCGTGACGATAAAAAAATTGAATTGCAGCTATTCGAGATGGGTTTGGAGCTATCACTTGCTCGTTTGAAGGCTCTTGCGAAGTTTGCGTTCGGCCTAGGGCTAACTCAGGTATGTCTCGTCGCATGTCATTATTTAGAGCATCTTTTTTTCGATAATGCATGTAGTAATATTTTGTTTGTACGATGAAATGCATTCTTGTTTCTTGCGTTGAAGGTTTTACTGTCGACTCTGGCTTTTACGGCATTTGAGCTTCCGCCAAACGGCGCTATTGGAACACAAATATTGCAGTTTCTGTTCCACTCGAGATCCGACTTGGTGAGACAATTTTGATACGATATGTATATATATACATACACATTGCGTCTACGATATGTATAAATATACGCGCGTGTCTGTGTGTTGTGTGTGTAATATTATATTATTTGTAGGTGAACATTCGAAGCATAGACGAAGCGGTGGTAATTGGTGCTGCTCTTTCCTTGTCTTCTTCAGCCTTTGTTCTTCAGGTACTTACGATGAGAGCTTATTAGCTTCTCTATTTAATATTTTACGTCGGAGGGGTAAAACCGTAAAATCACAAGTGCGTTATTCTTACATAGAAACTGTAGCTTCTTGCAGAGAAAGGGGAACTTCCCACAAGATTCGGCTCTGCCACTCTCGGAATACTTCTATTGCAGGTTGTGTGTGTGTGTATATATATATATATTTACTATTTTGTTTATTATTACTTTTTCAATAAAGTTGAGAAATTAAAACATATTAAGATGCGGATAATAACATTTTCTCGACTGCTCGATATTTGCAGGACATTGCAGTTGTTCCACTTCTTGTGATTCTGCCGGTTTTGGAAAGTCAGGTACATATATATAAACATACTTAACATAAATAAAAATATTATAATAAAATTAAAAACCATTATTTATTTCGGTTGCTTAATCATCGTTCGGTTGAAATGTAATTAATGCATGCATGCAGAGTTTCGTTGAAGAAAGTATTTGGCCAATGCTTGCGGCAGAAAGTTTAAAAGCTTTACTTGGATTAGGTTTGCTGTCTCTTGGCGGAAAATTTATTCTCAGGCGCGTTTTCGAGGTGCATTTTACTCATTTAAAAAAAAAATAGATTGTAATATTTTCAGACATAATTTAATGATTTTTTTTTTTCTTAAATCCCAGGTTGTTGCAGACACGAGAAGTTCCGAAGCTTTTGTTGCCCTTTGCTTGCTTACTGTCGCAGGCACATCGCTCATTACACAGAAATTAGGCTTCAGTGACACGGTTCGATACATAAACACACACACACACACACACACACACACACATACATACATATACATAAATACAGTAGAACATCGATAAATTAATAACCTCGCTTAAATAATAGTTTCTCCTGGTCCCGATTCGGTCAAAACCTACTAAAATTATTAGTTCGATAATTTAATATTTCGCTAAATTAATAGAATTTTGTTAGTCCCGACTGTATTAATTTATAGAGGTTTAACTGTATATAATTTAATTTAATTTATTTTAATTTGCAGCTAGGGGCATTTCTGGCCGGTGCTATTTTAGCGGAAACGAATTTCCGCACGCAAATCGAAGCCGATATTAGGCCGTTTAGAGGCTTACTTCTTGGATTGTTTTTCGTGACAACCGGGAGTTCTATAGATATGCAGGTATTATTTAAATTTTTAATTATTATTATTAATTTTTTTTTTGTTAAATACCACTTCTTGGCGATTTATATAACACATGTTCGTTTATTTTTCTTCAATGCAGCTACTTATTCGAGAGTGGCCGAACGTATTTTCACTATTGGCCGGTTTAATTGTTATCAAGACAGCAATTATAACGGCAATAGGTCCGCGAGTTGGTTTGTCTCTTCAAGAGAGTATACGGATCGGATTTCTTCTTTCCCAAGGCGGCGAATTCGGATTCGTAGTTTTTTCTCTGGCAAATAGGTAATTAAAAAAAACAAAAAAAATTAAAAAAAAATTACGACTTTTTCGTTTTGCTTATATTATTATTTTTTATTATATAGGCTTGGAGTGCTGCCACTTGAACTGAACAAGCTTCTAATAATCGTGGTCGTTTTGTCAATGGCGTTGACTCCACTGCTTAACGACGTAGGAAGAAAGGTGGCCGATTTTGTCGGTAACAAATTTGAAGATGGGGCTGTAAGTTTATAAAATAAGCCGTTAATTTCATTTTTAAGCAATATTAATAAAAAAATGATCTCGTTTTCGAGTTAATGACTGAATTAAAAAGATGATGGTATCACGCAGAAAATTGATGAATCGGTGAACTTCGACGCTAGTGAACCTGTTGTTATAGTTGGATTCGGTCAAAAGGCTCAGGTAATATTTTTTTTTCACTTTATTAAATATAATTAATTTTAGTAAATTAGTAAAATACTACTAAGTTTTATATAATATACAAAAAAAAAGGTACTTGCCAATTTCTTGTCGACTCCGTTGGCTTCTGGAATAGACGGTGATTCGGGTTGGCCTTACGTTGCTTTCGATCTCGACCTTTCGGTCGTGAAGGTGAGTGCTCGATTAAATTCTAGTTAATTTAAAAATATTTTCTATATTTTTTTTTTTAATTTAAGACAAGTTGAATATGTTTGGACTTAATTGAATAACAGACATCTAGAAAGCTCGGTTTTCCGGTACTGTACGGTGATGGATCTCGACCGGCAGTTTTGCAATCTGCCGGTATAAACTCTCCGAAAGCTGTTATGGTTATGTATACTGGCAAGGAGAAAACACTGAATGCTGTTCAACGGATTCGTCTCGCCTTTCCTGCTGTAAATCTCTCTCTCTCTCTCTCTCTCTCTCTCTCTCTCTCTCTCTCTCTCTCTCTCTCTCTCTCTCTCTCTCTCTCTCTCTCTCTCTCTCTCTCTCTCTCTCTCTCTCTCTCTCTCTCTCTCTCTCTCTCTCTCTCTCCGAGTGGAATAAAAACATCGTCTTTTTTGTAGATTCCTATATACGCACGCGCTCAAGATATGAGGCATTTGCTGGATTTGAAGAAAGCAGGTGCAACTGACGCGATTCTTGAAAACGCAGAGGTATATATACATACAAACATATATCATCGATCACACTATCTCGAGCATTGTTGTGACATTTTTGTTAATCAAAAAAAATTATGCGCAGACGAGTTTGCAGCTAGGGTCGAAGCTATTGAAAGGGCTGGGCGTGATGTCAGACGACGTAAGCTTCCTAAGGCAGCTTCTAAGAGATTCAATGGAATCGCAAGCTCAAGAAGCATTAGGGAAAGCCGATAATCAAGGGTTGAATGTTATGAAACCAATGCAGGTAAATATTTTCTATAATTAAACGAAACCTCTCGTTTTTTTTTTCCAGGACAAAAAATCACCCTATTTGCAACCTTTGCATGTGCCTGCATGTATAAGTATAAAAAGTATTAAACGATATTTAATTAACATAACGATAAATTTTTTTTTTCAAAGGTGAGGGCTGCGGATTTAGTTGGTGTGTATCAACCGTCGGAAAACGGAAAAATTAATAATGAAGATAGCCTCGTAACTTCTGCAAGACTGGAGGCCGAAGAAGCTAGAGGTGTCTTGTACTGTGACATTGGTCCCGATGAAATTGAAAAGAAAAATCGAGTCGGTGCTGCAGTTGAAGAGCCTGGAAAGAGGGTTTGATTCTTTATCGAGCCTCGTGTTTCGTAAATTTTAATAATAATGTATTCATGGAGCATATTATGTTTTTGTAGATGAGAAAAAAAACATTCTATTCTTGTTTTTGAGCCACACTGTATATACATATATTTTTATTTATCAGCTACTATTGTTATTAATTTTTTTAATACATTATAAGTTGGTAGTTAGTCCATTGCAGAATAAATATTTAGTTTAATTTTATTAATAATTTACGGTTTGAGAGAGGAGCAAAAGATAAAATCAATTTATTAGCTTTAAGAGAGAGAAACAAAAAACTAATAGAACTCAATCCCACATCGGAAGTTTACTAGTTTTGATAACTATTTATAAACAGAAAGAAAACAATGTTGTTCGCCGAGCTTAGTCACGTGAGCTTGTAACCCATGAGGGGGCTATATTGTAATTGGATAAATGGCCGGCTTGTTTGGCCGGGTCGTAGGTGGCGGTTCACCTGCCTGCCCGGTCCAAGTGGTGAGTTGGGTCACGTGGCTCGGGCGAAGGTTCGGGCCACGTGGCTCCTATAGCGGAGGGCAACGCGCTAGGCTGGCTTTACAGAGCAGCGACTACTTCCCGCTCTCCATAGTGGAAGGATAACAGGCCCGGTTGCTTTCTCGGCCCATTAGAGGCTAAACGGGCTGGCCCAATTTGAACAATTACTTTTTTTCTTTCTTTTTTTTAAATGAATTATTTTTTACTTTATAGTTTATTTTTTTTAATTATTTTTTACTCTATAGTTTATTAATATAAAGGATTAATAAAGTTCGTGTTCAAAATAAAATATAATAATTTTACTAATTATAATCATAATATTAATATATGTTTCAGGAATAAAATTTAATACATCTATATATCGGAAAGAAAAGAGAGAATCGATTTATTATATTTTGCGGAGTTATAATTTTAACAATAGATGTCGATCCAACAAAAAAAAATAATGTACAATATGTATGAAGATAAAAAAAAAATATTGATATGCAAAACTCTTATTTGTAGACATAATCGTAAAAAGCTAAATGAAATAGTTATCTGAAATTAATTAAACAAAAAGAAATGAATAATATTTGTATATTTGTTTTTTGAGAATAAAAGTGAAACCATTTTATTAGGCAAATGATGCCAAGTGAGTTGGAAGATGATATTTTGAATAAATGCAGATATAATATAAAATAGTTAATGGATTTAAAAAAAAATGGGTGTTGGACGGAAAAAAAGAAAAGAAAAAAGAATTGATACGTAAAACTCTTATTTGTGGACATAAACATAAAAAGGTAAATGAAATTAGTTATTTAAAAATAATTCATCAAATTTTATGTGGTTTTGAAGAATACAATACAATTAAAGGTATTCAATAAATAATATGTTTATGCCATATAAGTCATACCTTATGTAATTAATTTCTCTAAATTTTGAGGATCAAAATTGTAATTATCTAAATTCGTATTGTAATTCTAATTGTCACTCTAAATTTTACAAGGTGAGAATTCAAGAAAATCATTCAATATTTTATAATAACTAATATGAATACCTAAATCACATTGATAATCTCTCATCTTAGTATTTAATCTCACTTTAATTTCTTACTACAATATTCTATTCTTATAATTATTCATAATAAACTATAAACAAATCAATAAATACTAGGAAAAAAAATATATACAATCTAATTATTTCTTAAATATTAATTAGATTTTCTTTATCAAATTAATAAATACTAGGAAAGATAATCAAGAAATGTAAAAAACATCCGATTAAAAACTACTAAAAATTATCCAAAAAACAAATCTCAACAAACTTTATCAAATCATCTTCATCTTTTTTTTATCTCCTTCAACTACTGAGTTTGAAGAAATTTAAAAAGTAAACAATCTGTGAAATAAAATCTCACCAAAGTTTAAAAAAAAAAGAAAAAGAAAAAAAAGAAAAACAAATAAGCTAAGGGAGGAGGAAGGCGTTCACACGGTGGTGGTTGGGTGGTTTTCCAACGGGTCAAATCAATTAATACACACAGTATATATAGCATTTTTTTTTTCTTTTTTCAATGGGAGACGATAAACCAGACCCAAATCCGAACCCGAACCCGAATCCGAATCCGGATCCTGTGCAGGCACAACCGGATCCTCCATCTGCATCTGCGGCTTCGAAGACAGAGAAAGAGACGGAAAAGGGGATGGCCCAATTGGCCTCCAACCCTTCTTGGTTTACTCCCAAAAGGTTTTATCTTTTTCATTTTTAATTATGTTTTTCGATTTTAATTATATTTTTCGATTTTATTGGTGAATTGTTGTTGAAATTATGTAGCAGTGGTGCGTAATGTTTGATGGGTTCTGTGCGTAATTCGTTACTGGGTAGGGTAAAAGAAGTTTTTATTAGGGTTCGTTAAGATCAATTAAAGTGCTTTGGCTCGTTAAATTTTGTGATCTATGGTCGTTTATATTTTTTAATTTCGTTAGCGATTTTCTATCGAATAACAGTTGTTGTTTGTTCTGCTTCGGGTTCTATTTGCAGGTTGCTTTGTATTTTTTGTGTGATCAACTTGATAAATTACGTTGATCGTGGAGCTATAGCGAGCAATGGCGTCAACGGGAGCCGCAAAGTTTGTCAAACGAACGGTACATGCTCGTCCGGCAGTGGGATTCAGTAAGTCCGGTAACGTATTAATCATGTTTCGAAAATTCTGTGTGTGTACTTTTGGGATAAGCTCGAATCTTGGTTGTGTACGCAGGGGTGAGTTTAACATGAGTAACTTTGAGGATGGAGTTATATCGTCTGCTTTCATGGTCGGGCTCCTTGTGGCATGTCCGATTTTTGCTTCTTCGGCCAAAAGGTAATACAATCTTTCATGCTGCGACGGTTATCGTTGGATAATGTGACATAAATGCAGAAAATGGTATTCGGGCAAATTTTGCAATTAACTATAAGTAAAGGGGCATGAAGTGCCGAGAAAATTTATCCCCGAGTGTGTAGCTTTTTATGTTTTTTTTTTTCTGCTCTACGTAGAATTATGAAGTTGATTTCTCTAGCTACTGTCGTCTAATTTCTGCGATTACACAAACTTTGCAGCGTCAATCCTTTTAGGCTTATCGGAGTTGGTTTGACCGTGTGGACCATTGCTGTTGCCTTTTGTGGGTTTTCGTTTAACTTTTGGTCCATTGCAGTTGCGCGCATGTAAGTACATTTTTCCGAACCACTCAAATTTTCTTGGAGCATTTGCTATGTTATTTTTATTTCAATATTTTGTCGAACTTTGAATTTTGTAGGCTAGTGGGTGTTGGTGAGGCTTCGTTTATAAGTCTTGCTGCTCCATTCATTGACGACAACGCCCCCGTTACTCAGGTTTAGTTTCCGCCCTAAAGTTATGCTTATGCATGAGTTATCGAATTTGCATAATATTTTTTATTTCTTCTTGCATTTGAATATTTTAATATTAATACGGCATGCTTTTCGCCGTAACAGAGAACAGCGTGGCTGGGAGCATTTTACATGTGTATACCGACTGGTATCGCAGTGGGATATGTTTACGGTGGACTTGTGAGTTCCATTTAAAAATTCAATCTTTATTATTTTCACTCCCGTGTTTCTCCATCTTTCAAATAATTGACTTTTACGTTTGACTGTAGATTAGTCACTTTGGTTGGCGTTGGGCTTTTTGGGTGGAGGCACTTTTGATGCTCCCTTTTGCTATTTTGGGTTTCGTGATGAAACCATTGCAGTTGAAAGGTCAGTGCTACACCATAGCTCTGTTCTCGACACCATGCTTATGAACGAACCCCTTTGCTAATATGCCTATTTTATTCAGGTTTCTCGCCCGTTGAATCTAAAAAAGCATTGACAGTTGTTGATGAAGATGAAGGTACTCGATTTTCACCGATTAACATTAATTAATTAATTTGATTAGTCGGTTGTCACTTTTGTCAGATATTATTTGGGTGTAATCGATTCTTAGTTTTCGCACATTTCCTTATTTTAAAATAAATAATGTGCGGCTTTCATAACTTGATTAATTCTTAATATGAACGAACGCTTCTGTTCCGATATTAAAAGGTGGTGAACATTCCAGAAGGGAAGTGGTTGCAGATGAAAGTTCAAAGACTTCGGGGTGAGGAATTTACTTCAGTTAATTTGTGCGTCTTTGGTCTAGACGTTTTGTTTTTCTTTATAAAAACACATGCACCACAATTAAGAACACGCCGAAAGAGGCTCCAAAATTATTTTTGGAGTTTAAACAGATCTTTTATTTTACCGAAGTTCATATATTTCAGGTGCGGAGCTTTGACGATGTTTGTGAAAGATATGAAAGTTCTTTTGCTTGAGAAGGTTTACGTGGTGAATGTTCTCGGTAAATCTTCTATCCTACAATTTTCTCCGAGTTGTTCTATTTAAAAAATGTCACTAAATTAATAATTTATTTTTCGTGTTACAGGGTACATTGCGTACAATTTCGTTATAGGTGCGTATTCCTATTGGGGACCGAAGGCAGGCTATAATATATATCACATGGTAAAGATCTTCTTAACCCTTAAAACGGCAATATTCAAATTAATTTTCAAGTAATAAATTCCTTCCAACGATTTTTTTTTATTCCCGTTTTTCTAATGTTAATATCGACGCTTCTTGTAAAACCCAGAGCAACGCAGATTATATGTTCGGAGGCGTTACAGCAGTATGTGGAATAGTGGGTTCACTGGCGGGTGGTTTTCTTCTCGATCGAATAGATTCCACTATACCGAATGCTTTTAAGGTGAGAGCCTGCATTCTTCTGCATATAGTTGACTTCCATCAATGAATTGTTCTCACCGTTTTTTTTTGGGTAGCTTTTATCACTGGCAACACTATCGGGAGCAGTTTTTTGCTTTGCTGCCTTCTGCTTTAAGAGCCTATATGCTTTTCTTGCTCTTTTCGCAATAGGAGAGCTGCTCGTATTTGCTACACAGGTACCCTTTTAAAAAAAAAAATTATAAAAAAATTATGAATTTGTTTTCGAATTAAGATTTCATTTGTGACGATGCAGGCCCCTGTAAATTTTGTTTGTCTGCATTCAGTAAAGCCTAGTCTTAGACCGTTGTCTATGGCAATGTCGACTGTAGCGATTCACATATTTGGTGACGTGCCTTCGTCTCCTCTTGTCGGGCTTCTCCAGGTTTGCCTTCTAGCTAGTTCTTTAGTTGGTGTCGGCTTTTTTTTTTCTTTCAATAAATATTTCGTAAGTCGGACCAGACATTGGCTAGTGAACTATCTAAAATTGAAGGGTTTTACTTTTTCGCATTATGCATGTAAAACAAACTACAATCGTAATTGTTGCAAAAAACTCAGTTCATAATGAAAAAAGCATGTCAAATTTTTCGATGTAGTTTGTGGATTTTGGCTTTTGATAGAAGCTGGAGAAACGTTCAAAATATTGTCGGCACCATCGTAATGAAGGTTCGATTTTGCAGGATAAAATTGACAACGGAAGAAAATTTACAATTAAAAGCTCATGGAATTTAAGAATTAGAAATGACAACTTACGTAAAAGTTTGTAGATGTTTTACGTCCGATATATTGTCGGCACAATCTTAACGAAGGTTCGATTTTGCAGGATAAAATTGACAATTGGAGATCGACTGCTCTTATTCTAACGTCTATTCTCTTCGTGGCCGCTGGAATTTGGTTTATAGGTAAAAACTTGTAGCAATAAACTCCCTACACGTTTCATATTTCTTCGACAAATCACGTATTTGTACAGTAAACAAATATTCCTTTTTTTTCTTTTCTTTTTCAGGAGTATTCTTTCGAAGTGTGGATAGATACGATGAAGATAGCGAGCATGTGAACAAGGCGAATTCGACTCCTTTGCTTGTAGAGAAAACAACGGCAGAAGCAGTCTAAAGTTTTCTTGCCGACAATGGAAAAGGAGTCGAACTTTTCCTGTTCTTTAACACGGTACCATGTACATTCTTCAGTTCGATTTTCTTTCGATGATGTAAGTAAATTTTATATGTTTTTTATCTTTGCAACCGACTTTTATTTTTTATATCCGAAATTTTTTCGATGTAAAAGAAATTCTGGCATGGATTGTTTTGATTTTCTAACAGAGAGTCAATTGGTTTAATGTTTGAAGATACACTCTTTATTGTGCAATCCAGTAATTATTTGTATATAATTTCAGATTGTATTTTAATGGTAAAAATGTGGCATGAAGTGATGATTAATTAAATAATTCAATTTCATTTGATTTTTGATTAATTCAATAAATTAGGTCGATTTGTAATTATTAAACCAAAAATATATATCATCTTAGCTTTTTTTGAGATAAAATTGTGACAATCTTTGATTAATGAATTAATGGGTAAATTAGTCTTGAACCCCTGGTGGTTTGAACTTTGTGCACATGACACCCTTGTACTTTCATTATAAGCACATGAACCCCTTGTAGTTTGAATTTTGTACACACGACTCCCTTGTACTTTTAATGTAAGCACATATATATATATATATATATATATATTTTTGATAAGAAAGCACATCACCACCTCACCTTATAGTATTCCACTTGTAAATAATTATGCTCATTAGAAAGGGGAATTTTTTTGAAAGTACAAGTGGTTTATGTACTTATATTAAAATTCAAGGAGTCATGTGCAAAAAATTCAAACCAGAGGGGCTAAATGCTATTTACCTTCCTTAATTAATAATCTATTAATCCAACAGATTTTTCTGAAAACTGTGAACTCAAGAAACAGCGCCCACAGTTTGATATATATGTATATATATATATATTCTAAAAGAACACACTTAAAAAACACAAAGTTTTCTTGGAATTTAATTCCACAAACAGGCAAAAAGAGAAAAATGGCACCAACAGCAGCCATGCTCATATTGGGGCACCACCATACAACCACCACGAAACCACCATCAAAATCGACACAAGTCTTCATGGCCAAATCGTCGTTTGCAAGATGGGTGTCGAATAAATCTTCGATGTTCGAGCACAAAGAGAAAGAGTCGATTTCCGATCTCCCTTCTGATGCGGCACCAGAACAAGGAATAATCTATCGAGAAAAGTCGACGGATATGGCACAAGGAGGAAATGAAGTAGTAGAATAGGGGTCAAATGTGTCATTTGCCATGCTATGTGTAAAGCCTATCCTGTTTTATTATGCTTTCTTGTGAATATTTTGTTTTGTTTCTTTCTTTTTTCTCTCACTGCAAATGCTGCACAAGATCATGTATTCTTTAAGCTACGTGACGTTATCTAAGGTTGCGTTTTGGATTGAAGGATTTGAATTTGATGAGAAGATTCTGGGAATGTTTTAAATGATTCCATATATGCTGAAATTATAAATTATGCTTCCTAAGTTGTGAAGTTGGAACATGCAATGTACAAACAATCTCGATGAATTGGTCTATAAAAAAACTTCGTTTCTAAATAAGAGGGCAGCAGTTGCGTTGCTGAAACGATACAACCTTAAATTAAACCAAAAAAAAAGGGAAAAAAATAAAAGTTTCATTCGTTTCAATCTCGACAAATGTAAAAACCAGGAGGCGCAAAAGCAAGAGACATTGAGTTTCTTACTAGTGATGCGCGAAAAATCAAAAGCTCAAAACTCGACATGTGGCATGCATTATTAGACGAGAGAGAGTTCGCCTGCACGGATAGATCTTTTCACCAGCTTAGCCCACGACTCGTTTGTTTCGGTAATAATCTTAAGAGCATACTCCTGTTTATCATCAAAACAAGATTAATGAGAAACCATATTTTTTTTTTCCTCGAAGGAAATCGAGAAATTATATAATAATAATTCGAAAAATAATACCTTATTTGCTGGCTTGTCGCCAAGGCCGAACCTGTTAGCCGGTTTGCCGTCAGGGATTTTGTAGTCTCTAAACCAGTCTCTAATTGCAGTAAGTGTTCCCTTGTAAAATATAAAAAAGTTTGTCAATACAAGAAATTACATAATCGAAAACTAATGTTATAGATAGGAATTTACGTACCGGAAAATGCTTTTCAACATCTTCGACATCATTAACAAGGGCAGCTCTTGGATCATCCAAAGAAATCGCAACTATTTTCCAGTCAAGTTCCCCCTCGTCGATCATTGCAAGCGCAGCTACTGGTTTCACTTTCAACACTTGCCCGATTTTTCCTCGGGTTTCCCCAATCTCAACCACATCAACTACGAAGAATAAATGCGGAAAACAAAAAAAAAATTAGATTTAATAGAAAGAAGTTTATGAATGATGCTAAACGAGGATCTTACCTGGATCATTGTCTCCAAATGCACCCTCAACATCGGCATTTGCAAGTGAAGGGTCTTCCCATGTTTGTGGAAGCAATCCATAGTTCCAGTTAATATTGTATCTACACGACAGTAAATTTAATTCGATACCTAAAAAATGCGAACCAAACCGAAAAATTGAAAAAAAAACAAGATTTTTTCTTTTATTTCATTTTCGGAACGTAATTAGAATTTGCGCGCCGAGAAAAGAAAAAGATCGACAAATGGGGACAAAGAGTGAAAGAGAACCATCTTACGGATAGTATCGGAGTTTTCCCTTCTTAGTGTCTTGCTTAATGGGAGTGTACAGCTCATCTGTAGCAACTTCCATTTTCGCGCTCGATTCTTTCGGAATCTCGACTATGAAATTGAACACACCGTCACCCAAACGCAACGGTATATCATGCCAAGGCGAAATCTGCACGCATAATAATCGCAATGTTCGACATTTTAACACGTGAACACGAAGCCACATTCTAGTAACAGCATCAATTGAAACAAAAAAAAACACAACAAACAAATGTGTTTCTCAACTTTGATACTATTCCCTAAAGATTCCTTTTGTTACATCAAATCCTAAAATTGATTAACAGATTAACCACATCAAAACAGTCAATTAATTAACTAATTAATTAATCAATTAGCAATCAAATTAACGCAATTTCATTGAAAATTCCGCGTACCTTTTTGCCGGAATTGTCGTGAAAGAAGACGCGGTAGTCTAGGGTTTCGGGCTCGCCCTCTTCCTTGGTTTCAAGCTGCGGATTGTATATCGCGCTGCAGGTGAATACTCGCCTTCTCTGCGTCAACAATCTGTTGCTTCTGAAGCAAAAGCTGACGCTTTGAGGTTTTCCGACGAACGGAGTTTTGGTTAGAAGACCGCCGGAGACGGCGCTGCTCACTGACGCTATCACTCGTGTGGCCGCCATTTTTTGGGGTGGTGATGAGAGAGAGAGAGAGAAGAGAGAGAGAGAGGAGAGAGAGAAAGCTCTGTGGACTGTGTTTGTTATATTGACCACAGAAATCCAAATGGTGGCTGCTGATTGGTGGTTGCGGCTTTCTATTTTTATTTATTTGTTTATTTTTTATTTTATTTTCCTTTAATACTTTTTGTTATTGCTAATTAGTCATTAATTAATATTATATATATAGAAAATAAAATATTCAAGCGTAATATTCTGAACTTCGTTCGAAACCATGGGCACGTTCATCACGATATCTGTGCTTACTGTTACATTTATATTTTTAATTCCAATTATATATATCGTGTAATATTTATTTGCATTTTACACCCTTTACTTTTCTTAATGGGCTTTTAGCTTTAGATTCCCTCTACAAATTAAACCCATTATCAATTTAATTTTTTTTATGCACAAGTTGATTAAAATTAATTAATGTTTTTTGGTATGGCCCTAATGAGTAGTATAGGTTAGGATTTTATTTATGTGAGCAGATACACTAAGGGCTCGTTCGGTTACCGCAATAAGGTTCTGCTGACTAAATAGTAGGAGCTAATAACACGTCCGGTTGACAAGATTCACATCTTTTCAAATCCGCTACTAAAATCAAAGCCCGCTATTAAATGCTACTATTGCATTAAATTAGTAGCACCCCTCCCCCAGAGATTAATTTAATAGGGGGTGATTAAAAAGGAAAAAGACAATTTTATCCTTAAATAATATTGTATTATTTTAAATTAAGTGGTTTTATAGACAATTCATATATAATAACTGAATTTAACAAATTTAATAGAAGATCTAATCTAAGAAACCGAACATGCTACTAATTAAATAATTAATTAGCCAGTAGGGAGTTAATCCAATCTTATCTAATCCAATCTAATCCAATATAGGTAACCGAACGAGTACAAATGCAATATGGACACGGAAACGATGATATGGAGAAAAAGAAAAACAGATAAAGAGAAACGGTTTGTCCAGAATATGGAGCTACGAGAATTTGAGGAAAACATGTAAATATTAAGGTATATTTATAAATATGCTATATAAACATATTCAAGATTTTATTTATATATAATTTTTTTTATATTTTCGTACGAATATATTTAAAATAAATATTATTATCAACGGTAAATTTGTAATTGATCATTAAATCATGTAAATAATAATAATAATAATAATAATAATAATAATAATAATAATAATAATAATAATAATAATAATAATAATAGTAATAATAATAATAATAATAATAATAATAATAATAATAATAATAATAATAATAATAATAATAATAATAATAATAATAATAATAATAATAATAATAATAATAATAATAATAATAATAATAATAATAATAATAATAATAATAATAATAATAATAATAATAATAATAATAATAATAATAATAATAATAATAATAATAATAATAATAATAATGATAATAATAATAATAATAATAATAATAATAATAATAATAATAATAAAGTTATTTTAGAAACTATATTCTAGTAGAAGTTGAAAATAATTAAGAACAATAAGTTGATAAGTGTTCAAAAATACTGTTGAGAAATAGGATGTATTACAATTTACAAGATGATAATTGGTAAAATAAATTATATATATATATATATATACAAAAAAAAATTAGCTACCAAATTTTATTAATTTAGCAAAATATTTTTTAGCTGTCCTTTAGCCGTAATCGAGAAAAAAATTATTTATTATTTAAACGAACGTTTTTCTTGAATCGGAACCTGAAAAAAATATTATTTAACAAAATTGTATTAATTTATCGAGTTCTACCGTACAAATCATATAGTAGGGCCTCCATAAATTAATATCCGATAAATTAACAATCTCGAAGATTCATAGTTGAGGGAAGATTGTAATTTTCCAAATATGAGGGGTTTGTTCGTAATGTGATTTTATGTAAGGGGTTGACTGTAATTTATCAAAACAAAAAGGAGTAAAGAAAAAAGAAAAAAGATGACGAGAAAGCCCACGTAATCCGTCAACTATTACACAGTCCACCTTCTCCATCACGGCTTGATCGATTTCAAAATTCCGACCGTCTCTGTATCAAACCCTAAACCCCCAAATTCATTTCGACAAATTCCGACGCAATTCCGTTCATCTGATGTGAAGAGAGAGAAAGAGAAGAAAAAATAAATCGAATATTGAAATCTCGAATGGCTTCATCGGAGATCGAAATCGTATCGGATTCCAACGAACTCAAGACCTCTGATGGAAACCCTACCGAACCCCGCGTCGTCGACGTTTTCTCGGCTGCAGCCTATGGTGACTTTGACAAGCTCCGGAAGTTCGTTCAAAACGACGGCGTTTCAGTCTCCCAATCCGATGGCAACGGCTACTACCCCCTCCAGTGGGCGGCCCTCAACAATTTTGCCGATATTGTTCAGTACATTGTTGAAGTAAATATGTTAACACAATGAATTGGTGTTTGCCGTTTAAGTTATTAGGGTCTTATTTTGGCTCAATTCTAAAGTTTGGTACTTTTTTTTTTTTGAAGCGTGGTGGAGAAGTGAACGCGAAGGATAATGCGGGGCAGACTGCATTGCATTGGGCGGCGGTTCGAGGATCTATTGCAGCTGCAGATGTGTTGTTGCAGAATGGTGGACGTGTCGAGGCTGCAGATATTAATGGTTACCGGGTAACTATAGTTTCTTGTTTTTAGCTCATGAAAGAGAATCTATAGGGTTATGCTGCTGAAGATGGAATGTGGAATGATTGTTTTTTTTCGTCCAGTTGGAAATAATTTAGTTGACGTCGATAATAAGTTACATTCTATTGGTTGGCCTATCTCATTAAATCAGGTGATAGCGCAAAGGAATTGCCTAGATTCTGGTGGCATGTCATCTAACGGTGGATAAAATTTGCAATAATATATTGAAGATAGAAATTGTGAATGATTTGTGCTAATAATGCCTGATTGTGTGCCTAGACTAGGCTAGTTGATGGTGGTTTATGACTTAACTACGAGCAGGGGGTCAAAGCCTTCCCTACTATTTAACTTGTTTCCTAAGTGCTACTTAGGCTAGCGATACTTTTCTCTTCTTCTCTCTTGCTCTGGAATTGATTTTGGCTTTGTTACCATATATTAAATTGTATGAAATCTAAAACGTATTTTGGTTGCAGGCGGTTCATGTTGCTGCTCAATATGGACAAACAGCATTCCTGAATTACGTTATAGCTCAGCATCATGCTGATTTTGATGTTCCGGATAATGACGGGAGGACTCCTTTACATTGGTATGTTAATTGTCCTGGACTATAAATAGTAGTTGTTTTATTTCTTTACTTGGAAACTTGTAGATTCCGCTTACATCACTTATTATCTTGCAATTTGGGTTCCATGTCTATAGAAAGGTTACCGTGTACTTATGTGATGTCTCATGTCTTTGACTTCAGTTCACTCCTAAATCTCCTAATTACGTGTGAGGATCTTCGAAACTATATCTTGTGGAACCTTCACCATAACAGCTCTTTTAGTCACTGTTTAAGATCCTGTACGGAGAGAATAATATTCTGCTTTTCTATAATATTTTGGCTCAAAGTTCCACATTTCTGAGATTGTGACTGTCTTTGTTTTTCCTTCTCTTTGTTTCCATTTTGAAAGATCAAAGGTGAAAGGTCCGATTACTGACCGCCGCTTCCTGCATGGTTTTTGCATTAATTATTTTATATGTATGTGTGGAACTATGCATAACATATGGCTTGACCCTCTCTTGATTCTGGACAGGGCTGCTTACAAGGGATTCACTGATACTATTAGATTGCTTTTGTTTAGAGATGCTTCCCAAGGAAAACAAGACAAAGAAGGTATCTCTCGGTTTGATGTAGAATCTTGGTATCCTGATCTATTTATAAAGTGTATAGATTAATATAGAAGAGTTTGTGGTGCTTATTGAAGGGTAAAATGTTCCAGCTTTTCAATGTTGAATTTTCTACTCTTAACTATGGCATGCTGCATGTTAGCTTCTTTCTTCTTCTTCTTCTTCTTCTTCTTCTTCTTCTTCTTCTTCTTCTTCTTCTTCTTCTTCTTCTTCTTTTTTTTCTTTTTTTCTTTTTGGTTTTATTTGCTTATTTGTTGTATGGTTACGGGTAGAAATGAAATTCTTCTCTAACTATTTATCTTTTAATTTTTTTTTTCTTTCCGGAGCTCTAATATAGTGTTTTAGGGACTATAAATATTCTAGCAGAAATTAAGTGCCTGTATGCAAATATGAAGAGTTCAAGACATGCTGGCCTTTTCTCGTCATATCATATATATGTTCTTTTTTCATTCCTGCACTACACTCTCAACTTTATTAAGATTACATAAAGGGAGTATTTTCCCTCATTTGGTTTTAAAGGAAAATGCGAAGGAAATTATTCTGGAAATTTGATTGTGAGATATAAATATTTTTGTCTAGTTAAATCAATTTGACTTACAAGTTTCCATGATACCCAAGTACTTTCCAAGAATACGTAAACTGTATGTTTAATTTGGAGTAAGAAGAAACAATATGGTCAAAATTTACCTTTTTCTTCTTTGCTTTTTCCTTTTCCTTTTTATCCACTAAATCTTTGATTAAAGTGGTCTCATGATTTTTTTAATAAACAATTCTCCATCTTCGTCTATCTCATCATCTTGACATCCCTCCCGCACGTGTGATCTCCAAAGAAATTAAAAAAGGAGGTTAAAAGGAAAAAAAATTAATTGACAAACACATGTCCTGGAATGATGTTTCTAGTGATAAATGCTTGGGTTTGTTTGAACGGTTGGTCAGAGAACACTGAATAACAGGGAAAAATGCTTTAAGCTAGTCTAGCATATGCTGTTGGATAGATAATGATATATTTAAGCAATCTTGTCTCTTGTTAGCCATTGTTGCAGTGCAATTTTCCTCTAAGATAGTTCTGGTACTGACATCTTTCCGCCCTCATATAACCCTTAATTACAGTTCTGTTGCCCACATATATCTCTCCATGTTGTCGCGTAAAGAAAATTGAATCATCAATTGATGTTTGCACACACTTTCTTATTGTGTTGTTCTTTGTCTTCTCGAACCGAGTATACATTTTGTTTATTGAATCATTGTAACATAATCTCTGGGCAAATGAATGGATGTGGAGAGGGGTCCAAGATTGTCCTGTTGGGACTTTAGTGACCCGAGTTTTGCCTAGTCTGGTTTGCGTTGTACTTGATGCTTATTATTTTTTGTCTAGGTTGTACACCTTTGCATTGGGCCGCATTGAGAGGACATTTGGAGGCATGTAGTCTGCTTGCACATGCAGGATCTAAGGAGGAATTAGTGGTAAAAGATAAAGCAGGAAAAACTCCTGTGGAGCTTGCTTCTGATAAAGGTCATCGGCATATCGCTCTTTTCCTTGTATGTAACTTCATTGGCGCTATTGTCAAAACCATTTATTTTTATATATATATGCATGTATATGTATCTAATGTAATGGGTGTTTATGGTATATTTGGTGGATTCCCTTCCCTTTCCCATCTTTTCAACTTGTTCGTTTCTCCTGTAGCTTTCTGCAACATCATTTTTGTGTTTGACAATATCACCAGGCTGACATTGAGTGATGTGATTTGATGCAGTCCAATGCGTTGCGCTCACAGAGCAAGCAGTGGCACCACAAGATTTGCTGTGGACATGACGGGAAGTTTGGTTATGCCCCATTTCTTTTCTCTTTAATGGTTATTAGTCTGATTCTCTTCACTGGCTGTGTCCTTTTTGGTAAGTTTTGATGTTTTTTTCTCCTTTTTGTAGTGGTTTGACGACCTAACTAATTGCTGTTCTTTCTTTGGCTAGCTCCTAATCTTACAAAGGTTACTGCAACTGTTGGACTTTGGGGATGGACTGGTGTTTCTCTAGCAGTTGCGTCTTTAATCATGCTTACCCACTGCAGTAGGTAGATTTTTACTGTCACATATTAGTAATGTATAAAGAAGTTGGGAGAGCCTCATACTTATACGTCTCAATAAAAATAAGGAACATAGACTACTTTTCATGGAAGAGTCAAAAGTATGTGAAGGGCTTACTTGCTACCCTGTGCGTGCTGCAAAGATTATCTAAAATAAATTATCAGGGGAAATATTATAAAAAAAAGGAATATATTTGTCCTATAATGTATGATAGCATTAACTTTAAAGTAAAAGCTCAATGCCAGGTAAGAGAAAAGTGAAAGTTGTTTTCTCAGCCACAAAACCTAAATAAATGCTGTGTTGGGACTTGGAAAAAAATATTTTATAGAGATTGTGATGAATAAATAATGTCATAATTATGAAAAGTTCTATTGTTTTAGTTAGTTTCGTACTTGCAGTTTTATTCACCGAGATTCAAGCATGTAATAATAAATGAGAAAGATAATGGAACATTGACGTATAATTGAACGAAAAGAAAAAGAAAATAAGACCTGTCTTACGATCCTATCAAGCATTCAACAAGATTATTAGTTCATTCTATTGGCGAGAGTCAGGATAAAAAGCTTTTAATATTTAAGCGAGGTTATTAACCTATCTAACATTCTTTTATTAAGGATTTTACTGTAGTTTTATGTCCCTCGTGTTTTTTCAACTCAGAACCTTGTCCTGCTGCAAAAGCTTTTAACCGGCAGTAAGTGACATTTTATTCCTCATTTTTCTGCAGTAAAGATCCAGGTTATATAGAAACAGGGACGGGTAACCAGTCTGATGCTGAGGTACCGATCTCCTTCTGATAGTTTTGCAGCCTGACTTTTATGGTTGAACTACTGAACTCATGATTTGTTAATTCATATTGGAACTGACTTACTGTTTATCTCATGCAGGATCCTTTATTGAATATTGATTTAAATAATAATTCTACTTGGAACGGGAACTGGTCGCAACTTTGCCCTACCTGCAAGGTTACTCCATGATGTTTTATTTTTTTAATATCCTGAGAAACAAATCATTTATGATGTATAAATGGTTTCGATGATTCTTTGAGGCTTTCGTGTTCTAATATTTGTGTTTCATCTTTTGTTACTGTCCTTCTAGATAATAAGACCTGTTCGCTCCAAGCATTGTGCTGTATGTAAACGCTGTGTGGAGCAGTTTGACCATCACTGTCCCTGGATCTCAAATTGCGTGGGGAAGGTAAATTCATTTAATGTCTGCATAATGGAACTTTTGCCGTCTTCAATGCTCACATGCAATGATACGTAGAGAGTTTCATTCTGAACTGCAACAGCATCTTGCTTCTAGTTAGACGCCAAGTTTCTCGAGTTTCCTGATGTTATCAAAAGTGAAAAAGTTATTTATAGTTTCCATAATCTGCAAGGAACTATGTGCAAGGCTTGAATTAGATATGAGGAACAGAATTATAATCTAAATGTTGTTTTTTTGTATCCGGTTATTTGTTAATCTTTACCTTTTTGAGCTGATTAGTTATTACTTTAGAATTGTTTTTTGAATATTGCAGAGGAATAAACGAGACTTTGTTACTTTCCTCGTCATGGGAACTTTAACAACATCAATTGGTGGGATGGTTGCTATACAGAGTATGTTTGATCAGCCACACTTCTATTAACTATTTATCTTTAAAGCTGTATCTCATACTAATAGTCCTTATAGTTTCAATGAAGTTTCAACTCAGTTCTAGAATACCAAACCGGTGAATGTCACTTTTTTCTCAATTTGGATATATTTATTGAATTTTCTTAGGCTGCATTTCGTTGGAAGGTTTTCGGAAAAAGGCTTTCATTTCCATAGTAACAAACACATTGGACTTGTTTGGATAATTTTAAGTAGCAATGGGTTCTAAATCCTCTAGCACCCACTCTTTAAGTTACCGATGTTGGATTTTAAATACGTCTAGTACTGAAATCATCTGAATCCTTAGCTTTAAACCCCAAATTCATATTCCAGTTATCCAACATCAACCTTAATGAACCGAGTCGTTTTTTGCGCATGCAAGGCATCTATTCTAATTCCGTGTGAAATTTAATTGCCTCTCTGCCTAAGCTTTTATTTGAGTATTAATGTTGTTTTTATGCTTCTCAACAACGGTTTCCGAAATCGGACCAAATCATGACTGATAAAATTGTAGGAAATGACGTCATTAAACTGAAACCAAAGTAACACTCTCCTGACAAAATTTGTTTTGTTAATACTAGAAGTGTAACACCGACTTTTTTGAATAAAATAATAGCTCGTGTGATTCAACAGGAATTTGGACATCTGTACCAGCGTTATCAACTGGAGAGACATGGACACATCACGTAATATTTGAGTATCCTGGTGTCATTGCTTTCCTTGTTCTTGATGCAGCTATCTTCTTTGCTGCAACAACACTATTGGCTGTTCAGGCTTATCAGGTGAAGGAATTTTTTTTTTATATCTTATTAATTTATTCCGTTTTCCTTTTTAGCGATTGCTGGACATGCTGAATATAACAAAAGCTGCATTAGTTAGAGATCCAGAGTGCTTACGCTTATTCTATAATGTCCAGTTGGTTTTTTTTTTTTTTTGAGGCAGTGTTTTATCTTTATGCAGATTGCTCGAAACGTCACGACAAATGAAGTAGCAAATTCAATGCGATATGGTTATCTTCGTGGGCCAGATGGGAGATTTAGAAACCCATATAATCACGGTTGTTGGAAGAATTGCTCCGATTTCCTAATACATGGCCACACGGACGATGATGAGATTGCTTGGCCTCCTCTTCAGCAGATCGCCAGCTAGTACATACATACATATTACATATACACATATCTATATGTATGTACGTATGCATGCCGGATGATGATACAAGAATCCCTTTGGCTTTTGGGGATCTCGTTACATAATGGGTACACACTACAATCTCGTATTTTATTGTAACTTATTTGCAGAAAAAAATTGAGAATGTAATTGTCGTGTATAATGTAATGTTACATTTGAAGAAAAATAACTTTCGATATATCTGATTGATACTGGATGAGAATTAATACATACGATGCTTTTCTGCTCTGTATTAGTTTTTTTCTTTATGTTATCTTAATGGAACTGCAACTCCATTGAATGTAATTTTGGGGGAACCTCACAAGATTTACTCTCTCTCTTTGAAAATTTGGGGTAAAGAAAAAAAAAATCTTATTCTAGAGTTCTTAATTTTCTCACATGACTTTTAATAAATTCAAATTCACTAATTCAAAGAGAAGATTGAGAGGACGGCGGAGATGAAGCGGAGCAAATCGGTGACGAGGAGAAGATGACAACGAGAAACACCATTGTCGGCCGAGAAAATTACGAGGCGAAAATTCAAATTTGAGAGAAAAATGAGATGTAGGGAGATGGTTCTGGACCGAGATTTAATTACATTAAACACACAATCAAGTGTATATTACATAAAATGTAATACAATTATAAAATTATTTTCTGTTTGAATGAAGGCCCGAAAGGCCCGAAAACAAGGTTAATAAAGCAACGGGTGAAATTCGAGCAAGGAATAATACTAGATTCTTTCAACTCTGCTGAATACCACTAGGCCATGTTTGATTCTTCACGGGCTTCAGAATCGCTTCTATCTCTGATAGAGTTTTCTCATCCTTCCCAACTGTCGAAACTTGTATTGCGGCTTCCACGTTTTCATTAACCTGATTTTCATAACGTTATAGTCAGCACGGTATTAAATAATTCATTTTTACCATGCTATTATTATTTTTTTAGCTGAAACTAAACCCATTCCTACTAAAATCAAGATTAAAATTCCATGAGGAGTCGAACGAACAAGTGGTCGGGATTGAGCTTTCAATATTTTATTATCAATACGTCTTCTGAAGAAACATTTGAAGTAGAAATGGAGAAATATTATTAACCTGCTTGACGGAGTTCATTCCAACCAAGATAGTCGAAATATCTTTATTTGATAAGCTATATTGCAATGCTAGCTTCGATACGTTCTTTCCTTTCTCTTTACAATACGCTGCAGCAGCTTTACACGCAGCCTGAAAGGGAACCACCGTGAAGCTTAAGCACATAATCTATTCGACAAAACATTCAATAGATCGACTTCGGAAAGTAAAGCTTGATATCGATTTTAGAAAGTAGAGAAGTTTAATACAACAGTCGATAAGTTTTTCATAGATATCAAGGTTCAAGAAAGTTCTTATTACGAATATAGAGATACGGAAAATTGAAAACGAACAATAACACCCTACTAATAATTCATCACAAAATTCTAAGAGATATTAAAAGAATACAATCACCTTGAGTTCAGGGGAAGAAGGGTGCCACTCGGGCGGGCCAGTTTCTGTAAGAAGACCCATCGAAAGAGGAGAAGCACTTATTATACCGACACCTTTGCTTTTCAAGTAAGGCAGTAAATCCTCCAAAGTCGAATCATTGATACCATAGTGACAATAAGACAGTACTACATCAACTGTTCCAGGTGGCACTCTATCCAAAACATAAGAAAAATTTTCCAACGGAAGCCCCGTTATACCAATGAATTTAATCTTCCCCGCTTCCTTTAATTTAACGAGTGCCGGGATTGTCTCAGTCACAATCTGTACACCGAAAAAAAAAAACAATCCGATACTTTTCGAATCAATAAATAGATATACAAATTAGAAGGTGTTTCGAGCAATAGAGACGGAACTGAAAATAGAACCTGGTCCAGTGAGGTGAATTCTATATCGTGACATTGCAGGATATCTACGTAATCCAGCTGCAGTCTTTCGAGGCTCTCGTCAATGCTCTTCGTCACTCTTTCGGCACTGAAATCAAAACCATCTGCGTACCTTCCACACTTTGTAGATACAATGTACTCGTTTCTAGGAACTTCCAAAGCTTTTAGGGCTTTTCCCAGCATTTTTTCGGACAATGTTCCTCCATAATACCTGAATATCCAATAAGTATAATAAGAAATATCAGAATTTGATCACATTTTTTGAAAATCCCAACAGAAATTGACTAACAATAGTTCTACTACAACAAAATCAAAATATGCAGAGATCTACAACGTCAACAAAATTAATTAATAGATCAAATAGAAGAAGGGACAAATTGAGAAATCTCACTACCAAAAATTAAGATCAACACACACACACACACACACACACACACACACACATAAAAGGGGCAAAAAAAAACCCTAATAATCATTAAATCAACAAAAAAAATATCCACATTGATTGAGACGATTCAGCACTGGGCTAAAACAAACCAACAGCTAAAATGGAGGAAAAGATAAAGAAGAATTGAATTGAGTTTACGGAGAAGTGTCGAAGAAGTTGATTCCGAGGGTGAAGGCTTGGCGGACGGTGGCGATGGCGTCGGATTCAGAAACGACGCCGAAAACATTGCCGAGAGGCGACGCGCCGAAGCCCACGCAGCTGAGATTGAGGCCGGTGTTCCCCAACGGCCGGAGCTCCAGTGGATTCGCCGCCATTGTTGATAGTGAATTTCTTCTGATAGCTGTTTATCTGGAATATATGAATTTCTTGCTGTTAACTGTCACTAGTGGGAAAAGGAATAATCTAACACCGTTGTATTTTTCAATTTTTAATTCGTTTAAATATAATATTTATTTCCTTAATAATATTCAAAGATTCCCCCTCTCTTAATACTTCATCTTTTCTATTAAAAGCATCTCAGAATAAATTTTTATTTATTTTTAATGGTTTTTTGTTACAATTTTTCTAAAAAAGGATTTTCATATTTAGCACTTCCCGAAAAAAAATGTTTTTTTTTTTTCGAAAGTGAAAAACTAGTTCCAATTTTGTTAAAAAAAAGATCGGAACTAAAAAATTCTAAAATTGGAAGGAAAAAACTCGTTCCAAAATCGCAATTCAGAAAATCCACTTTTTTAGTAACCTAAAATGTAAAATACAATAGTTTTGACTTTTCGAATGAATTCAAAATTTTCAGAAATTAAAATCCGATCGAAAATAACCAAAGTCTCATATAAACATATATCATTTCGAATTAAAAGAAACGAAAATTGTAATTTTCTGAATAAAAAAATATTTTTTTCGGAATCGGACGAATCTGAAATTCAGTTCCAACAAACAGGAAATTCTAGCAGTAGAGAATCAGGCAAAAGAATCAATCCAGTGCAAGAAAATAAATTCATTTGATTCCCTCTTCTTGTCAAAACTCTACATCCTCATCGAATATATAGGAATCTTGCAGTTTATACTGAAAATATCACAATCAACGTATATTCTTTGGACAATTTGTCGAACACAAGTACATGTAAAGCCATATAACATCAGAGACTCGAGTTCTTCAGACACAAAACCGCTCATATCTACACAGATAGAATAATAAAATAGCCTCTCGTGTTAGATATATTTACAAAACAAGTGTGTTGTTTACCCTGAAGAAGAAGAAGAAAGAAGCGATGATGATAAGTGATTCACTTATCAGACATTGAAAATCTGGAAAGATTCTACCACTGTCTTCAGTCTGTCTTTCATCTTATCCCATCTCCTCTCGTTCGATCCTGTTGTCACAGTGTAGAATTTTCCTGCAACGAAAAACATTATTTATAAGATGAAATAAAAAAAAAATTGTGTAGATATGCTGAAAACGAAGGGTATTTTTGTACCGTTGCCAATACAGACTGTGCTAAGAGCATGGCGAGTGTACGTTGGAGCTTGTGCTATGAACTCAATTGTGTAATAAGCTTTACCATCCACATCATGCTTTTAAGATAGTTGACCATGGAAAAAAAAGTCAACCGTTACATCCACTTTCAGTCAAACCTAGTAAATTGACAGAAAACAATGTCCTTGAAAATGAACTAACCTCCGTAGCCTCGATCAGCTTTGTTTTCTGAGACGAAGAAGCCAGAACCCTTTTGATCAAAGTCTCAGCCACCTGGAACCCACGTAATTAAAAAAAAAACGAAATTAATTTAGCAGAGAGAAATTCAGTATACGATTAACAAAGAATATCCAATTTCTGCACGAAAAATCGTAGTTGATGAAAATTGCAGACCTCTTGTGGTGGTCCAAAATCACGAATATCTTGTTTGACAGTGGGAATCAAATTTACGCTGACACTTTCCAGAGGTTCGATAACATCTTTGAAGACCTTGTCTTGTCCTTCGACAACTACTTCCTGGTCCGTCAAACAAAACGTAAAACAAGATTGGAACTTGAAAGGGAAACAAACAAATATGTGCCTAATAACCGAGGAGGAAATGTTGCTGCAAAAGTAAATGATAATTAAACAAGTAAAAAAGTAACGAGAGGAACCTGCCACCCAAAGGGATACAGAAAAGTATATCCATCTTTCTTATCTGTGACCGATAGGAATCCCTTTTTCGATTCTGCAGCAACTGAGCCAATATCAACAGTATAATCTTAGCATATCAGCTACAATTGCTCCAGGAATCAAAAGAAAAAACAACTAAAACATACGTTTTTACAATCTCAAAACAAGCATCGTATCCCATTGTACCTCTTTTCGAATCTACTCTAACTAAAAGGGGTCGATAAATAAACTACCGTTGGATAATTAACGAAGCAAATAAGGAAACAGAGAACTTCTTCCATGAAAGAGATTTGATTCTATTTCTTATACTAAATAATTGCAAAATGAAGGGAAGGAAAAGAAAACGGAAAACCAAGTTCGTAAGGAAAATAAACATACATGTTGAAGATTGCTGAGAAAGGAATAACCATGGGGCAACTGTTGCCCCGATGGCAATGAGTTGGCGCCTTCCAGGTCCATCTGTCGTAAACATAAAAAGTTGTCCTGTTAATCGAACTCTGACTAACACAGAAAACTCTAGGCATTGCACTTTTAAGAGAAATTCCCTGTCTTCATTTTTTGTGATTTCTACTTCCGACTTCCTCGTACATTCATATGCATTTTTTGTCTTTATTTATTGTAAATCAAAGTACGAATTAGTATTTGCCTCAATTGTAAATCAATGTACATTCATATATTGATTTCTATGGCGAAGATCCAAATTCAAAAAATATATTAACTAGGAAGCCGACTTATCACGAACCAATTTAACCATGTTTAACTTATCCATAAAAGTAAAAAGAAAAACAGAAAAAAGTACCTTGGCAAGGAGAAGTTGAAGTAGAAGGCAAATGCTCAGACCTCACACCGAACGACGTACTTCTTCGACATTGACCATTCCTATACACACCTACCTGATACATAACTTCAAATTTCAGTATACAGAATACAGTAACAGAGAATATTGCTACAAAATAAGAGTAATGTTATAACAATTTAGAACCTGAGTAGATGCATTTGGCAACCGTGTGAGATGGATTGATGGTGATGTAGACAAAGACACCATTTCTGCTTCAAACTAAGAAACACAAAACACAATCTCATCAAAAAACGACGTCGTTCTGACAAGGAGTTTTTCAATTTGATTCTCCTCACCATTGGAAAAATCAAAGCACGTAAATCAAATGCTGCTCGTTTACCTGTAAGGTGAAAATCGCTACTGGATCGCCGCCGTGGTTGAGAATTTTCCGGCGAAATCGGCAGGAGAAATATAAACGAAAACAACCGTTGGCTGGCTTTCTCGTTTATCCGTTCCCTACATCATCCAAATCTTCTAAATTTTGTATATCCACCACCACATTTTAATTTCAGGATGTACAATGACATAAATACCCTTCCTCAGTTTTCGACTGAGAACGACCAAAATGACCGAGATTTTGAGGGGCGTTTTAGTCTTTTCATTGTTATGATCGATTGAAAATGATCCGACGGCTGAGATTGAGTTCCTCACCTTACTTACCCTGCAACCGAGTTACACCTTACCAGTGGTCTTCTTCCTAGGGATTCCGCTCCCAACTCTAAACCCAGAAACCCTCACTCTCTCTCTCTCTCTTTCTCTCTCTCTCTTCATTCTCTCTCTCACACACAGTTCACACAGTGAAAATGCGTAAGCTCACCATTCCCTTCTCTGCATTGCAGCTGCAGAAACTCCTCTTCTTCCGCTGCGCGTCCACGCAATCCAATTCACTCACCCACCGCCTCTCCATCGCTGGATCACCGCCGCCTCCGCGGCCGTCGCCGCCGCTCGAATCTCTTTCCCCGTACGCCGCCGCGTTCTCTAGCACACGATTTCAATACTTTCCTATTAGGCATTTCTCTTCGCAGACGGAGAACGCCGCCGCGAGCACCGTTGATGAAAACCTAGTAGGAGAATTGTTGACGGAAGAAGAGAAGTCCACCGCGGAACTCTTATCGACCGAGCTTCAAAAGAATCCAGAGGTGGAGCCTCTGCCTTTGCCTAAAAGACTCGATCTTTCCTTCTCTCACGTCACCGTAAGCCCTAAACTTCTTCACGCCACGCTTAATGCCTCCCCTGATGCGGGCCGTATGGCCCTTGATTTCCTCAAATGGGCCAAATCCAGGCCCGATTTTCAGCCCAGCGATGAGCTCTACTCCCATTTCGTGGATTATTTTGGGAGAAGGAAAGATTTTAAAGCTACACATGAAGTTCTAGTAGATGGCCATGGAGTTGCTGGGGTAAAGAGTTTTGAGGCCCTTGTTGATCGGTTGGTTAGGGCAGGTAGGCCAACTCAGACTGTGGCGTTGTTCGAGAGAATGGTGAAAGATTATGGATTCATGAGGAATAAGGATTCTTTGAAATTGATTGTTTCGAGTCTTTGTGAGCGTGGATATGCAAGTTACGCCGAGAAAATGGTCAAGAGTTTGGCTAACGAGTTCTTTCCGGACGAGCACATATGTGACTCGTTGATTAGTGGGTGGTGCAACGATGGGAAGCTAGACGAAGCGAAGAGATTAGTGGAAGAAATGTACAGGGGAGGCTTTGACATAGGTACATTTGCATACAACTCCATTTTAGACTGTGTTTGTAGGCTATGTAGGGAGAAAGATCCCTTCAGAATTCAAACCGAGGCTGAAAACGTGTTGGTTGAGATGGAGAGGCACGGTGTTCCGCGCAACGTGGAGACGTTTAATGTACTGATCACTAACTTGTGCAAGATTAGGAAAACGGAGGATGCGATGAACCTTTTCTCTAGAATGGGTGAATGGGGTTGTTACCCAGACGAAACTACGTTTTATGTTCTGATCAAGAGTTTATATCAGGCTGCACGTGTGGGGGAAGGTGACGAGATGATTGATAAAATGAAATCTGCAGGGTATGGCGATGCGTTAGATACGAAGGCTTATTACGAATTCTTGAAGATTTTGTGCGGGATTGAGAGGGTTGATCATGCTATGAGTGTTTTTGCGAAGATGAAGGAGGATGGATGTGAACCGGGTGTTAAGACGTACGACTTGTTGATGGGGAAGTTGTGTACCTACGGGCGTTTGGATAAGGCGAATGCGCTTTACAAGGAGGCTGAGAGCAATGGATTAGCTGTTGAGCGCAAGGCGTATAAGGTGGATCCTAGATTTGCGAAGAAGAAGCAAACTGTTGTGAAGAAGGAGAAGAAGAGGGAGACTCTGCCCGAGAAGATGGCGAGGAAGAGAAGAAGTCTTAAAAAATTCCGGTTGAGTTTTGTGAAGAAGCCAAAGCGGAGTGTGCGCCGTGCTTTTTAAGGTGTTTTGATCGTTGTGTAAGGGTCAAATTTTGAGGAGAGGATGATCTTGATTTCTTTCATGTACGTTTTCTGCTCTGTTTTTTGTTTCTGGGATATTTACAAATCCTTGAGTTATTGACCTTCAGGTCAAATTTATATTACTGATTTGTGTTTAAAATATTTTTCGGGTTTTGATATCTTTTATGAAGTTTGAACCATCTCACTTGAACTTTTAAAACTTATGCGCAAATCTCTTGATAGTCGGGCTTGTTTTTTATGTATAAGTTTTCGTTTTGCTGTTTGCTACATGCATGAAAAAAAAATTAGTTTGCCTTCATAGAAAAAAAACGTAGTTAATCATCGACACTCGTGGATTTGTCTATTTGATATTTATAAGTATTGATTGCGAGCATGGTCTGGAGAATAATGTATTTCTCAAGAGCAAGCATAGTTTAGTTTCTTGCATATATATATCTTGATCTTACACTCGACATTTTTATCGTTTTTACTGAGAGCAATCAAATCGTTTCCTTCTGAATATTTAGTTCATATTTAGATGCGATTCAATCGACTATTGAAATACCTTTCTATTTGATGTGGCAGGCACGTCTTATCTTTCTGCAGCAATATCTGGTTTTCATTTCAGCGATAATCGGGGAAGATGCAGTATTTCGAATTCCAGTAGTTTAGTTTATGGTGCTTATGTAGCTCTAATCCTCCAATGTACTGGTAATTATGGCTTATTGCAGCTAATTCGACATGTTTTTCCCGTTAAACCTTGCCGTCTTTTTTTTTTTTTTTTTTTTCGGTTCCATGTAGTAAGCTTTTATTTGCAGAAATAAAGTGTTCACCATGGGAATGTATTGTTCTCAATTATCTTGCAGTATGTGCTTGTATAAAGATCCGAAAACACGATACATTAGATACAAAAGAACAACCGGTTCGACTGGTTGAACTGTAATCCAGTAAATTACAGAAATTCCAATGAACTGATAAAAAATCGAAAACCGAAAAACTAAAATTATATTTTCTCAAACAATTGATAAAACACTGAAATCTGAACAAATGCTACAAATATATTGTAGAACAAATACACAGGAAAAAAGACCCAAGAACACATTCTCAAAGGGCCTCTAAAACACTGATAAAAAAACAACCTATGTGCTACAAAGTTCCTGTCTCTATATCCACCACCCCTAAATTCCCATTTTGCCCATTTACAGGCTCTAGGGATTGGCACCATAGAAGAATAAATTAAAGCTATGAGGGGTATTAGTTACACTTCACAACAGAAGGGTAATTAAGTAACATGGCCAGCAGCAACTGAAGCCATGAAAAAAAAGTTGTAATAACTTCGAAAAAAAATAACAAACCCTTCTTCAAAACGAACCCCCCTTAGCAAAAGAAGCTTCTAGATTATAATCTGGAACGGTGGAGAAGTGACAGGCTGGCAAGTAGTAAAGACTTCATTTTTAACTCGAATATTTCGAAATCGCGCGGCGTAAATTCTTCACTAGTTCCTTCATGTCTAAAGTGGATACTTCGTCCATCTGCAGAAATTGAACAAGAAAATTCATATTACTAATTAATGTAAATAAAAATATATATCATGAAGTAATATATATATGTATGTATACAGTACCTGTGCAACTAGTGATATGTAGAGAGCAGAATCTCCGAAAGTGATCACACTGGTGTTGACAACCGACAAGTTGAGCTTTTCGACTTCGATGGCAGGGTGCTCCAAAACTCCCTTCTTTTTCTCGCAGTGGATGTGAATAAGGACGTCCTTATTACACAATCTTGTCTCGATTTCCGGGATTATTAGCGACTGATCGTCAATCGTAGTAGTACCGAAGATGCTCTCGTCCGATAATGCATGATCTAGTTTATGTTTCTTGACAAAGACCGCAGACGATTCCACCTTTCTCTTGTTGTTGTTTTGTTGCTCTTCGAGAATCTTCACTTTGTCTTGTAGTTGCTTCAAGTACTTTATTGCATCTCCGAGAACCGAAGCCTTGTCCATCTGCGCGCGCAGATCAGATCGTTAAAAAAAAATTTAAAAATAAAAAAAAAAAAATTAAAAAATTAAATTACACACCTTTTTCAATCCAGGGACTAAAGCAGACAAGGCAATGAATCTCTGAGTGAGTTTTTCTCGACGTTTCCTCTCGGCCAACATGCGTTCTTGTGCTGAAGGAACCCTAGTAGCAGTAGTAGTCATAGTAGTAGTACTCTTGGTTGTGATTGTAGTACCTTTAGCATGTTCGTATGATTTCGGAACAACGTAATTATTTTGTTGTCCGAAGGTTATAGTACTACCATACCATGTTTCTTGTTTAGGCTTCTCGATTGTTGTCGGGGGTGGTGAGTTCGGCTTGTTTTCGGATTTGATCTGCTTGAATGGCCTAATTATACCGTCTTCTCCTCCGACTAATTCGGAACACCATTCATGCGGGGCCCGCTTCAAGTCCGGCTGGGAATAGTTGTTGTAGTAACAAGACGGATCGAAATCTTCGCAAAATATAGACGCCATCGACACGGAACTCAGCTCGTCGAATAGTGAATCTACCGACCATTGCTGGCAGTTCAGAGAGTCCTCCATTCCCTAATTAATGGCAGAAATATAACATTGGTTAATTTTATTCGAGATTTTGAACATTGAATACGAAATATTAAAATTAAAAATTAATAAAAAAAAAAAAAAAACCGAGAAATTTTGTCGTACCAAGTCGGCTAAACTTCTGAAGCTTGAAACTTGCATGATCCCAAATATATGAACTGCAAAAAACCCTGCAAGAAATATTCAAACGACGACGATCGATCAGATTATCGTGTGACATATATAATCGAAAACTGATGTATCCAGGTTTCGAAAATCTCGAAAAAGATCGACAGATATCGATGTTTCGTAATTCTTGATAAAAAGAAAAAAGAACACTTGCCTTTTGAAATTGGACGAAACGAAGCTGCACTTTTTTCTTCACCCCCTCGAAGAAAATCGACTTCTCTTGCAAATAAAAGGAAACTATGCTCCACTTATATATAAACTACAAATACTCCTTCTGTTTCATATTACGTCACTCGTTTTTCCAATTATGCCCTTATTAATGGTACATTATTTCACACAATCGAACGTTTAGATCGTATTATAATATATATTTTATTTTATTTCTCTAGGACGATCCATTATTAGTTTTCTTGCACGTCGAAACTTTTAAACGACACTTAATTTAAAAAATAAAAAGGAGTTAATTACATGTTTTCAAAGTCTTCAAAGGGCTTTTTTGCTGCATGATGTGAACTGGCCTTTACACATCTAAACATCTCTTTCATCAATTATTTCAAACACGTGATAATCATTTTTATACATATTTATATATACATATATATGTATTATATATATATATATATATATTAATAATTATATTATATCATATTGATGGGGAGTTCTTCAGCAGATGTAGGCTGGCAGGGGCGGAATCAGGATGAAAATGTAGGGGGGGCTAGCTAAAATTTTGGGGTTCGGGACAGCGCCCCGAAATTTTTTTTTAGGTTCACAAGACATTTCAAATATAAGTTTGTATTGATATGTTTTAATTAAAATGTCATATATATAATAATTAACCGTATTTTAAGCATAACAAAAAAAATTAAATTAATTCAAATTATTTTAATAATGTATCGTACTTAATATTTTGGGGATTCATGGCATCATCTCATATTAATTTTTAGAGTTATTGATAAAAAAAAAATTCAAAAATTCATAAATTTTTATTTTAAATTATACAAGTTTTCACAATTTTATTTTATA